GAGTTAAACTTTCAATGAATAAAACTTGACAACAGTTTCATTTTTTTTTTAGAAACTGTATGGAAGATTTTGTGAAGTCACCAACTGCGTTTACAAAAACACATCAATCTATGAACTCTGTTGATTGCACAGTTAAACCAGCATATACCAGAGGTCAGGTAACTGACTCCGACATTGTCCAATCAGTGGTATCCGTTTGTGACATACTATTAGATGTTGCTAAGCACCAAAGTAAAGAGGTGAGATGCATTTGATTGCTCTGCTCTAGCCTGTCGTAGGCCAGCAGGCCTTCTATTGTTTGCAATTTCTGGTCCTTTGGTAGAGTTATGCTCTATCATAGACATTTCAAAGTAAGGCAAACGTATATACTGTATGCAACACAGTTATTTAAAATGTAGCACTACAATATTGTAGTGCTTAGCAATTTTAATATGCCCAGCAGTAAACATGTTTTTATATATTATATTATTTCATATGTAGCATTAACATGGGGTTCATATGTGGTGCTGATATGTTTCATTAGTGGCACATATATTGGAGCATTAACTGCTTGCCACATGATGCTTATAGAGAAATGAAAGTTTTTATGATTACTCACTATCTATCACCCTTGACTGATGGCAAGATAGTCTAACCCAACCCTTTCTCCACTGAGCGCACCTAACTTCCCCTTTATTGACCTACATGTCTTCTCAATTTTTTTATATTATTTTATTACCCTCTAGACAAGGAAAAAACATCTTATTGCTGTGCCCTCTACAAGGAAGAACCTACGAAGCTTAGCATTGGCAGTGTCTTCATCAAGCCCTGTGCTACTGGAAGGTCCTGTAGGTTGTGGCAAAACGTCACTTGTAGAGTACCTTGCGGAGCTGACCGGGAGAAGTACTAGAAGCAACTTACTGAGGGTGCAGCTTGGTGATCAGACTGATAGCAAGGTACGTGGCATTGGTTGTCGTCTTCATAGTAGTATATCACTACTATTGTTACTGATTTCGGTACTTCCGCTGAAAACATCATCTTTATTACTGGTCATGATCATAATTGATTTAGTTGTCATACTCACTATATCGTATTATGGACATTATCTGCTTCATCGTCAACCTTGTTGGCATAATTATTATAATTATAAACATAATCATACTCATAGTATTATCATTAACATGATACAGTTGAACTTGCATAAGTCGAATCCAAAATGGCATTGAAAAATTGTGAGACTTGGATAAAATTCGACTTACAGATGGTTAAGTGAAAACACAACAATGTATGTAAAATAAGAAAATTATTTGAGTTAGGCAAAGTCGACTTAGCTAAGTTTAACTGTATTTTATGATCCTACCTTTAAATTTATCCAGGCCCTTCTCGGAACTTACTGTTGTACGGACATACCTGGTGAATTCAAATGGATAGCAGGGCCCCTTACACAGGTGAGCTAACAATTTCATTTATACTAATATATCAGAACTTTTATCACCTTACCATGTTAAGATTTTGTTTGAATTTACAAGCATTGTTGACTTCAAATGTTTAAAAAATGTAAGCTGCTAATTTCTGTACCTTTTATGTAGGCTGTTTTGTCAGGGCATTGGATACTGTTGGAAGACATTGACTATGCTCCGATGGATGTTGTATCAACCTTGTTACCACTGTTAGAGAGCAGGTCACTTAGTTTGCCAGGACACGGCAACACCATACAGACGGCACCTGGATTCCAACTATTTGCAACTCAGAGGTAAATTGCAATTTGCATTTTCAATAGGATCATATTTACTATAGTAAATGTCTGTTATTTTGCCTCTAACCTGGTAAAGCTGTCTCTAACCTCGTTAAATGCATCTAACCTGGTAAAAATACACTTTTTGATGTGCATCTTACCTTTTGATATGCCAAAGACCTATGTTATACCAAAGATTACAGCAAATGAATGCTTAAATGTAAATCTAAATTGCTCATAAACCTATTAATGATAGTGTATCCCTCTTAAACCTGGTCAGGGCTCAATTTAACTTTTTTGATAACTAGCTAACTGGGCTAGTTGACTAGAGATTTTACTAGCCCACAGAATATTTTACTAGCCCACAGACAGGAAACAATTTTGTTTCAAAATATTGAAACTTGAAAGTGACAATTAAATTTGAAAATTGATTAGGCCTAGTAATTTCATGATTTGCGTAGCAATCTTTGATGGATGTTAATATTCAATTACCAACACAAATGCAGTTGAGGACTCAAAATACATGAATTAATCATACGTAATATGTTTCTTATTTAATAAAAAATCACGGTGCTGTAAAATCGACTCTGTTTATAACAGGGAGATGCAAGTCGGTATTTTAATAATCACCAGTGTAGCTGTTGAATGTTTAGGTCTCAAGTCACTCACCCTAGAAATCTAGGCTAGCCTACTACTAGGCCTAGGTGATGAGACCTATTGCAGTAAGGCCTACAGTAGGCCAGCCTACCTGCATAGCATTGAAAATCACCAGTATTTAATTATTGAATATAAAAGTTGAACATTTTAAAATTACAGTCATGACAAAATAATATGAATGTAAGGTAGTAGTATAAATGCCTACCAGATTGGACAGACGATCTTCTGTTGAGATTAAAACCATGCCTAAACTGTAGCCTGTGTTTAGTGAACAGTTGACTTAGGGATCATCTTGGTAATTGAACACTCGCCACATGGCAGGAGCTCAAAGCTAGCTGCAGTGTACTGTCTGAGCTGTGGTGCCTCATGCAGGGATCATTTCAAAAAGTTTTTTTTTCATTTATTTATTTAAAAAAAAAATGTTTTCTTGCCTACTTTTACACTAGACAGTTGGGCACCATGAGGAGGTAAATAGGTTTTTACTAGACATTGTACGCCGGGCTATTACTAAATCGAGTCCTGCTGGTCATAATGCCATTTTACCTTAAAAATGTAAAAATGTATCTCTTAACTAACCTGGTAAAACATCTGAAATTTATCATACCTTTGAACCTAATGATGCTAGTTTTTAATGTATTTTTACATTACAATCTACTATACAGGTTAGTAAATAGTGGTGGCAGTTTTGTGAGACAACAGCATAGTCATTCCGCAATGCTGGACAGGATGTGGACCAGAATTCAGGTGGAACCTCTGTCAACAGACGAACTACGTCAGGTAGGTTAAGTTTCTCTCATTAAATGTCTCTTGTGTAAATAACCTCATCACAGATTGTAAAGCCTTGTATTTAACAGTTGGTTAAAAAATAAAAATCATCGGTAATCATCTTCTGGTCACTGCAGGTTGTGGTAACTTTGTATCCAAAACTTATCACAGTGGCGGATAGGCTTCTGGAAATTTACTCGCTAATATCAGCCGGAGGACATCATGGCGACAATGACAACATGTCGGAGGGTACAGAGCGTCTTAGTCTAAGTGGTCGTCTGTTCTCAACAAGAGATTTGATCAAGTGGTGCGATAGAATTGTCGCTAGTTATGATCACGGCAAGTCTCATACAGCAAATATGATATTCCTAGAGGTAAATATACTTTATTATATAATTTTAGGAATATAAATCATATTCTGTTGTGTAACCTTGAAAAGAATGTCATTAAAGTAAGAATCGCTTTCTGTTTTGCATTTTGTTGAAAGATAAAAGTCATTTTCTGTTTCACATATGTATTCAATGTTAACATTTTTTTAAATTTTATTTTAACATTCATTCTGTTTGTTTTTATTTTGTTGTTTCTATTAGGCTCTGGATTGTTTTTGCTCATCATCCTCCAAACCAGCTAAAAGAGCCCGGCTTGGCGAGGTCATCGGCACCAAGCTTAATGTTTCCAAAGAGAAATCGAACTTTTTTTCCACCAAATACAAACCATCATTTGCAGTTGAGGAGGATCGGTGCATTGTGGGTAGGACGCAACTTCGGTGTATCCCGCGTGACCAGATCCAGTTTCAACGGTAAGCAGAAATTAATTTCATACAAATTTATTATTTCTCAAAAAAATGACTTTCTCATTTAGCCACCCATACTTGTTGCTAAATTATATGTGGCAAAGACAAGCAAAACCACTCACTCGTCGCAAATCCGGTACTGGAGATAACGGGCAAAACATGCTGAAATGTCAACATTTTTTAAATCTATTTTATGGCACTAAGCTAACATTTATATCATGCTATGCTGCTATTTTCCTCATTTTCAATGTTAAAGCAACAATTTTTAACGATTTGTTGATGGTTTCTGCCTAAGAAATGCCTGAAATCGTAAACTTTATTAAAGGCTGATTTCTCAGATATTGTTCTTTAAACAGCTGTATATTTATACTCCTGTAACTTCATAAAGAAGTGTTGGATTTAAATGATTCTTTTACCATTTTATAGCTCTCATTTTACTGTTTAACCCTGTATTAATAATTAAAAATCAATTTTTGCGACAAGTGGCTGGTTCGGCTTGTCTTTGCCACATATGTAGTTGATAAAAGTTCTTTTCTCTTGATAGTGTCACCACATCTAATTTTGCCTTTACTCGACATTCCTGCATACTTCTTGAACGTGTTGCTGTGTGCATAAATAACAATGAGCCTGTGTTGTTGGTGGGTGAAACTGGAACGGGCAAGACCTCATCCATCCAATACCTAGCTGACCTTACCAACCACAGGTTAAAGGTCATAAACATGAACCAACAGAGTGATAGTGCAGATTTACTCGGAGGGTAAATAACACCTACCATGGCAATTATTTAAAAAAAAAATATTTATAATGAGAAACAAACCAATATGATAAAATTATATACAGTGCTTTAAAAAATCAGTTAAAAATATTAAAATTGTAGTAATAACTACAGTCCTTCTATCAAGCAGTTTTTAGAATATAATACAAATTATTTTTTTTTAGTCTTTGACTACTTAGAAATATTGAAATCTTGTTATAATATATTAATCATATTTTATCTTGCCTGAAATATATATGTATGTCCATTTTTAAAAAGTCTTTGTATGCATTTAGTTTACTGTAATTGATAAAAACTTGCATTAATACTTTTTCAGGTACAAACCAATTGATATAAAACAGCTAATTACGCCGATCCGCAAACAATTTGAGGAGAATTTCGGCAGGATGTTTTCCCGAAGTCATAATGAGAAATTCCTTGGCCACATCCAGACTTGTTACTATGCAGGGCGCTGGACAACCTTGCTTAAATTAATGATGCATAGCCAGCAAGCTGCTGTCAAGCGATTACAGGCTGTCAACGACGTCTCTCAAGATCAAGCTCCAGTTGATGGGGAAGCAACACCAGAGGAGTTCTGGAGAAATCTTGGAGAGCGTATTCAGCAACTACTGCTTCAAATTAAACACTCAGAAAATATGCTGGCTTTTTCGTTTGTAGAAGTAAGTATATAGATGGGTTCTTGGGGTGCCCGTCATCTAATTACACTAGTCTTGGTTTAATCCCAGCGAATTCCCCTTTCTAAGCCATGCACACACTATCAGATTTTGTAATGTTTGATCAGACTTTTAAAAACTTTTTTTATTTCATTCAGTTTGAAACCAGCAATTTAAACAATGATATGTCTGTGATGTGTGCGAGTTACTAACTATTAAAATATAAGTACATTCTTGTTGCGCTTGTTTTTGTATCTAGGGGACACTGGTGAAAGCTTTGACCAATGGAAATTGGGTTCTACTTGATGAGATTAACCTGGCAACTGCCGAGACTTTAGAGTGTCTAAGTGGGTTGCTTGAAAGTACATCTGGATCTGTGGTCTTGATGGAAAGAGGGTAAGAGTAATCATCAGTCATTAGATATATGAGGAACCAGTGAAAGTCATTGCTATAGATGATTGTATGTTTAAAAAATGTCAGATTTTTTTTTTGTAAATGATGAAATAATTTATTGCTGAAAATAAGTTGTTGAGCAGTAAACGTTCTGATGCATTCACTATCTCCATGTTACAGTTGTACAAATAACAGATATTTCAATAATTTTTTTATTATTCTTTCCTATTAGTGACTTGGTGCCAGTAGTTCGACATAATAATTTCCGGCTCTTTGCTTGTATGAACCCTGCCACTGATGTCGGCAAGAAGGAATTGCCAATTGGAATAAGAAACAGGTACATATTTTTTCTTTTAGTTTGATTCGTTGCTACTACCTACATGATGTTTCAACAAACATGTTATAGCACCAGACATTTGCCTCATGATGTTTTGTAAATGACTGAAAGCTGTAAATGTAGCAGAATGTTTCACAAGTAGCATCAGCAACCTGCCACATGATGTTTTATAGATAAATGAAATATTTTTAAGATTACTTGTTATCTATCACCCTTGACTGATGGCAAACTGATGCTGTTTTCTAGCCAGCCCCCTTTCTCCCCCCCCCCTTTTTACCAATTCAAGACATAACTCTTCTATTAATAATTTTATTTCCTATTGTAGGTTCTCTGAATTTTTTATTGATGAATTGGAAGAAGTTTCAGATTTAAAGATTTTAGTGAATAGTTACGTGAATGGACTGGGACTGTCAGCTAAACAACTTGATGGTATTGTTAAGTAAGTAGAATTGCTGACATGTTTTGAATCGTCTCCCATACAAGGTAATAGATCATAAAAGTACTTGAGGGTTGCCATCCTAAAAACAGCGTATTGTCGCTAAATGTTAAACTGAGTAATTAACATAAGAATGACAGTATTGTATACTTCAGTACAGATAAGCCGTAATAGATTTTACTCATAAATTTCACAATAGTAAGTTAATTGTAGTAAATGATCCTATCTATCTAAAGCTTATAATGTTGAGAATATATTAAAAAGTCAGTTTTCTGGTTTTTGTCACTGAAGCTGGTTTTGGCATGAAAAGACCCACTTTTTTTGAGAATGATTATTTGTTTGATCCATGATTTCGTACTAAACCTATCCTATTCCTCTCCCCTTCCCAACCCCAGGTTTTACCAAGTTATTCGTGTAGAAGCAGAACAAAAACTGACAGATGGTACAGGTCATCGACCTCATTACAGGTAAAGAATTATCTACGAATTATGAATATATTTATTTTATTACAATTTAAATTAAAATAAGCCTCTATTCTTGTTTTTTATTGATATAATTAAAAAAGAATAAATATAATAAACATAGTAATTAGTATTTTTGGAAATACAGTAAAGCTTCCATTTTACGAACAGTCGATTTTACGAATGTGCATTGCTCCGATGATGTCATCATCGACCAATTATTACCGTAAAAAGTCTGATTGCGCATGTTTTACAAAGTGATAATGTATATTTTTCTTAATAAAATGAAGTTTGTTGTATTTATTTATTAATAGTTCGATCTTTTCTTCTATTTCTGGTATCACTATGTTAATGTAATAAACCTAACCAGAACAACAAACTGCCAATGCAAGTGTCGTCGGATTGAGCGTCGGAATGAGAGTGTTGGGGGTCAGCAACCTATTGATAGAAAGGGCCATAAAACATACAGATGTTTGAATAAGAGTTAAAATAATATTTTGTTAATTGGAGAATGCCAACGAATAAAATACATCGGTTTTTATCGAAGGTAAATTCAGCTAGGCTCTAGCACGGTAGACCACGCTGCTGCACTGTCGGTTGTACTAGGCCTGGCCGTTGTCAGCCTATCGGTGCTCAATGGCAGGTGATAACTAGTCCTAGGTATTGGAAACTGACACCCGATCTAGTTTACAAATTTTTCAATTTATGAACACCCCTTGGTATCAAGTGGTATGTAAAATGGACGTTTTACTGTATATACTTTGGTTTTTAATTTTTATCTAGTTTGAGGACATTATGCCGGGCTTTACGATTGGCTGCAATTAATCCGTATGGAAATGTTCTTCGGTCCCTTTACGAGGTATGTAATCCAATTGTAATCCTGTGTTTATTTTCATTCGAAAATCTTAATTTGAATGTTTTCTTTTTTTGATATATTAAAAATTCAGTATTTTTTCTTCCACTTTTATAGAGTTTCTGCCTCAGCTTTTTGACTCAACTAGACAGGGGGTCGCATCCGCAGGTGGAACAGCTGATCATTAAACATGTCATTGGTAAAGCTAATGTACGTGGTATGTTAAAACAACCGATACCACCCCCTGCATCCGGTCAGTGCAGTAAGATTGAAGGGTATTGGATCAGGCTCGGCGACATTGAGCCAAAGGTGGCGGAGGATTATGTGTTGACAGCGTCGGTGAAAGCTAATCTGCGTGATTTAGTTCGCATTGTCTCTGCAGGGTAAGTATCTCGTTTTCCAGTTAGTATGCAGATTAATTCATATATACACTATGGGCAATCCTTGGACCATACTGCCTTAATTAAAATCAACAACAAAAAAAAGTCAAAGTAGTAGAGTTGTTTTCGAGATGACGTAATGTCAAACTAAAAAAAGTTAGTTGGTCTCATATAAGAAAATCGTTTGTCAAAAATGGCAATCCACATTAAAATAGTATGATAACTCAAAATCCATTGCATGTGTGTGGTTTGCATGACGGCTATAGAAATTAATAACACTTTACACATTTTGTGTCCTAATGATATCATAAGAATTGTATAAAAATGTATTATATTTTCTTGGCTTATGTAGGAGTTTTCCTGTGTTAATACAAGGAGAGACATCTGTTGGTAAAACCAGTCTGATTCAGTGGTTAGCAAAAGCCACGGGCAACCGTTGTGTGAGAGTGAACAATCACGAGCACACTGACTTGCAAGAGTATGTTGGTTTCTATGCAGCAGACGAGATGGGCAAGCTGATGTTTAAGGAAGGTACGTTGCTGATACTAGTGTTCACATATACCGATGTTAATAAAATAATTTTTTTTTTATAGAGCTCTTGACAACACCCATGTTTTGATTTGCATTTCAGGTGTTTTGGTGGAGTGCATGAGAAAGGGATATTGGATTATACTTGATGAGCTCAATCTCGCACCCTCTGATGTTCTGGAGGCATTAAATAGGGTAAGAGACATCAATAATTGTGTTAAATTAGCTGTGGTGCCTGATTTTTAACATGAGAGGTATTGGTTCGGATCTTGCATTGGTTCACTTCTTGTAACGTGTCTGGACTTCATTCAGCTTTTTCAGTGTACGTTTCTTTTTGTTGAATTTAGTTGTTGGATGATAATCGAGAACTTTACATACCAGAGACGCAAGAAACGGTTCAGGCACACCCACAGTTTATGTTGTTCGCTACCCAGAATCCTGCTGGTCAATATGGTGGTCGAAAGGTAATGAAGGCAGTTAGATTTTCAACTAGTTGTTAATAACAATAATCCTAATGTCAAATAATGTAATTTTTATTAATATTTATAAATAATAATAGTTTATAATTTTGCTAAAATAATTAAATTGTATTGAACATTTAATAGTTGCTCGCTTGGAAATGATGACAAACATTCGCGCTTCGCCTGAACATTCATGATTATAACATCTAATTTTCTTCACTTCAATTTCTGATCCAAGCATGGGAACTTCATAAATTCTGTTGATACTGTAGATGAGATTAAGATGTTTTTTAATAGAATACAATTCCAACTTGTTAAATTTTGATGAAATCTGTGCAGGTGTTATCGAGAGCCTTTCGTAATCGTTTTGTTGAGCTGCACTTTGATGAAATCCCAAGCCGTGAGTTACAACAGATTCTACATGACCGTTGTGCATTGCCCAAGTCGTACTGCATGAGGCTTGTGGCTGTGATGTTAGAATTGCAGGTAATGACAAAACTATTAATTCTTAGATACTATTTCATTTATTGAGTGAAATCATAGATTATGTGTTAACGATAGTGCAAATGGAAGAACTTAGAAAATTTCATAATGCATATTATATAATTCATATTATTTTGTTGTCAGACCTTTAAAGATGGAAGTGCATTTATTTATATTCTGTATTTTGTACTTAGACACGGCGGAAGAGCTCTGGGGTATTTGCTGGCAAGCATGGTTACATCACACTTCGAGATTTGTTTCGCTGGGCCGAAAGGTACCGGAAAGCGAGCTCCGTACATACAGGATTCTACGATTGGGATCAGCATTTAGCAGACAATGGTAAGTAAGAGCTGTCTTTTGTATTCCGGTCTTGACTGGTGTATTCTACTTTTGGCTAGTAATATCTGGCCTGTGTACATTGATATTTCATTTGGACAATGTTGACAAACAAATGTTAAACTGCTCTTTCTAATGTATGTTTCATATTTTAAAAATGTTTTGTATATTAAAGGTTACATGTTGCTTGCGGGTAGAGTGCGACGTCCTGAGGAGAGGCTAGTGATTCAGGAGGTTATTGAGAAGCACATGAAACGTAAAGTAGAACCAACGAACCTGTTCACAATGTCCGACAGCACTTCAAATATCGCTCGTCCACTATTGGAACAAGTAACAAAACAAACATTAGATGGTTTCTCGCATGTGGTGTGGACTTACAGTATGAGACGTCTTGCAGTGTTGGTGGGACAAGCTCTCAAGTTTGGGGAACCAGTACTACTAGTGGGAGAGACAGGGTGAGTCAATGGCATGTTAGTTTTCTCAGTTCCACTTTCTAATTTCATGCAGGATTGGATGAATGTCGGCAAAAAAGCAGGCATAACTGTTTATTTTCCATATTTATAAACATAATTTTTCACTGCGAGAATCTCCCATTCTAGTATGTCTGCTTCTTAATTATTAAGATATCATCTTTTATAATTTCAGCTGTGGTAAGACAACTATTTGCCAGCTGTTTGCTGCCCTCTCTCAACAGTCTCTTTACACAGTGAACTGCCATCTGCACACTGAATCGTCAGATTTTCTGGGTGGGCTGAGGCCAGTCAGGCATCATGATGACAATGACGTAAGTGGATAAATCTCTGCCCACCCACATAATTACATCCCTTTGGAATTGTGGGTTTGGAAAATTTCATAAAAACTATATTATAATGTATTATTCATATTTTCAGTGCTCCTATTGGTGATTCTAGCAATCATGAAATATAAATATTTATTTCTGTAATTTAAATAATGCTTGTTGCCAAAAACAAAAAATTACTTTTCTATGTATTATTCTAAGTGGTTGTTTGTTTTATGTGTGGTTTTTCTTTTTAAAGGAAAATAGCCAGAAGCTATTTGAATGGAGGGATGGACCTCTAGTACAAGCCATGAGAGAGGGCGCTGCATTCCTCATCGATGAGATATCATTGGCTGACGATTCTGTCTTGGAACGCTTGAACAGTGTCCTCGAAATTGAAAGATCGCTACTCCTAGCTGAGAAAGGAAGCGGCGAGAAGTTCACAGACGAAACAGAATTAATAAAAGCTGACGAACGGTTCCATGTTTTTTCTACTATGAATCCCGGAGGAGACTTTGGCAAGAAAGAGGTTAGATATTTAGCTGTTTGAAATTTCCCATTGCAGTGGTTGAGACTTTGCCATGAGAGACATTAAAAGATACAATGTTGAAGATGAATCTGTTGCACTAATTACATTACGCTTGGTCTACATTGTCAAATTTTATGTGACCATTGTGGGTGATGTGCCCGTATATGGGCATGATAATGTCATATCCAAATAGGGGCATATCACATTTATTTGTCACATAAAAATTTGATAGTGTGTACAAAGTTCAAAGTATAATTATATAGGTAATTGTTGATTATATTAAATATGTATCTTTAAAGACAGATTTTACCATATTATTTTGCTTATCTTGCTTTTGATTGGTTGTTTTCTTGGAAATGATGAATGGATATTCGCGCTTCGTATGAAACACAATGATTATAATATCCTTATTAAATTTCTTCACTACATTTTCTGATCCAAGATGATAACAAAAGCTTCTTGTATATATTAATTTCTGTTTTCATTTTTAAAACCAAGATTTTTGTTTTCTTGTAAAGCTTTCTCCTGCATTGAGGAATCGTTTCACTGAAATCTGGTGTCCACAACCACGAGATCGTAATGACATGGTTCAAATTATCGAGCACAACATCTGCGATGGAGTGCAGCTCGGAAATCAGGAGGATGGTTCAAGCGGAATAGGGAAAGGTATCATGAACTTCGTGGAGTGGTTCACAAACACAGAAGCTGGGAAAAGGTAATAAAATGTCATTCATGTAACAGTTTAAGATATAGTTAATATTAATAGAAAGCTTTTCTATTGCCAGAAACAATTTAAAAGTAATATGCATTGGTTATGAATGTGATTTGTAATGAAAATTTAGTTAGAGAAGGAATTATAGTTTCCCACATTGATCACATTTTGTACATACATCCTGTTTATTATTGTCCATGAACAGAAATATTTTGCCAAAAAAATTATTAAATTATAAAAACGTGATTTACGTGAATAAATCTTGCTTTCAATCTGTAATGTTCTTAGAAATGATGAATGGATATTCGCGCTTGGGATGATAATCAATGATTTTAACATCCTTATTATTTCTTCACTACTATTTCTGATCTAAGATACAATAAAAAAGCAATGAAACCCTCTTTTAAAACACATCTAAAGAAATACTTTCTAGTATAATGTATATTTTACACATTTGAATTTGTGTTTCAGGTTTACAGTGAGCATTCGCGACATCTTAGCTTGGGTGAATTTCATCAATACAAGCTGTGACACAGAGAACAATAAAGCATTGGATGTTGCCGAGGCCTTCATACATGGGGCATGCCTGGTATTTCTAGATAGCCTTGGATCTGGTAAGTTTACAGTTCTTGTCTACTGTAATAATATCTATTCTACGATTGGTACACAAAGGGAAAATTGTAAATAGATAAATACCCCACTGAGAAAACTTTTTTTGATGTAATTTCAGGAACCAGTCTAGGTAGTGGAGTTTCACCGGATGATGCCTATCGCTCCTCGCTTGAATATCTGCAATACGAGTTAAATAAGCTTGCTGGTTATACTGTTGATGTTTCCAATTTGCTGGTCAGTGTGGACAAAAATGGAAGCCATGTAAAGAACCCTATTAAGGAAACAGTGGAAATATTTGGCATCGAACCATTCTTTTTAAACAAAGGTGTGTGTATACCGATTTCAATACTACAGTTCATTTATGTTAATTTTATTATTGTTGCAATTATTTAATAAATTATTGTAATCAACATAATTGTAAATGCAATCACTTGGAAAGCAATTTCTAGTGTGCTCTGTCATTCACACCATTTCATTGATTTATTCAGACAAACATTCATGAATTGAAAATAAACAAACCAAATTTGCATGCTTCAAAGCATATCCTCAAAACATATACAGTAAGTTATAAAACACATGTAGACGCTATAAATTGATTGTTGTTGTTGCGATTCTCTAAATTCTAGGCCCACTAAGAATGGATGGGAGCAACAACAGCTATGCCTTGCATGCCCCTACAACATCCCTGAATGCTCAACGTGTCTTGCGAGCCTTGCAACTACCGAAGGCTATTCTCCTTGAAGGGTCTCCAGGAGTGGGCAAGACAAGCTTAGTGTCAGCCATAGCAAGGGCATCAGGTCATCAACTAGTTCGCATCAATCTATCTGAACAGACAGTAAGTTTTGTAACTTTTCAATTTAATTTGTGATAAAAAAAACTTATGGATTTTAAAGCGTTAATTTGCTTAGCATACATGTAGACAGACCAGACATAGAAAATGGTTTGTACAAATAATAAGCATTGCTAGGTACACAGCCTCGGAAAAAATTACTGATTTCGAGTTGTTTTCTGATGTACATATTTGGGTTTTGTAGGATGTGACAGATTTATTTGGTGCTGATCTACCGGTAGAAGGAGGCGAGGGAGGACAGTTCGCATGGCGTGATGGGCCACTTCTAAGTGCTCTCAAGTCTGGACACTGGATTGTCCTGGATGAGGTAGGCTCCTACATTTGGCAAAGTAAAATATAGATTTTTATGCGCAAGAATATTTTTTTCTCTGTTTAATCATTCAATACATGATTTTTTTGTTTTTCTTTCCCTCTGTAGTTGAACCTGGCTTCCCAGTCTGTCCTAGAAGGCCTAAATGCATGTCTAGATCACAGGGCAGAGGTCGTGGTTCCTGAACTTGGCATGACTTTCAGCGTTAAGACAGAGACAAGGTTGTTTGCGTGTCAGAACCCACTCGTCCAGGGTGGTGGTCGTAAAGGCTTGCCCAAGTCGTTCCTCAACAGGTTCACACAGGTAACATTGTGCTATTGTTTAGAAAGACGAATACTTAGAGATCTCTAGGTCCCCGGTTCACTTCCCATTGCTGCTCTCCTTGTGTTACAGCTGATTGGTTGAAATGCAAGTTACAATAGCGCACCGCCTTTCGGATGAGACGTTTTAGCCGTTGGTCCCGTGCGCAGTACACGTTTCGTACAAGATTAGGGGAATGTCTCCCGGTGTACTGCCCAATTCACAAACAACAAGTTTTTGGACTTGGTGGGTTGTCCTTGGTGTGATTCACACCAAGTACTCCTATTCCTAATATTTATATTTGCCACTGTATTTGCACTGTAACACAAAATAGCTAAATTGGAATACATAGTAGAAGAAACATTGAAAACAACTCCAACATTTCAGAATCTTATTTTTCTATTTTTGTATTATTTTGAAATTGATGTTTCAATTTTGTTCCAGGTTTACATTGAGCCGTTAACATCCGTTGACCTGCTATTCATAGCTACAACAATGTACCCACAGTTACCAGCTGAGTGTCTAGAGAAGATGGTAGAATTCAGCAACTTGGTAAGAACTTGATTGAATGTATTGTTTGTCTAATTTTGGGATTTTTTTTCAATTACAACTTGAGAAGCTGTTCAGTTCTAAGTTAACTTTCTCCTACAGGGGATCCCTGGATGGTTTATAAACCAAGTCAGATAATATGATGAGAGTTAGGGCTGTTACTATCTTGTCATTACTTACCCGGTTGAACCAATAAATGCTAATGTCTCCTGAATAAAAAACTTACCAATGGCTCTAACCTTTTCTATCAGCTTTACAAACAGACCATGGTGGAATGTGCATGGGGTCAGCGTGGTGGTCCATGGGAATTTAATCTCCGTGATCTTTTCCGTTGGTGTGACCTTATGGTGCACGATCAGCATGGTGTGTGGAATCCAGGACAGCATGTCTCGCTGATCTACTCCGATAGACTAAGGACAGTTGCAGACAAAGCTAAGGTACAGTACCATCATGCTCATAATTATTTACTTATCTATCTTTTCATTGAATTTCATTTCTAATGATCAGGGAGATGATTACAACTCAACTGGTGATGGCAACTGCAATGATGATTATGATATGATAATAATAATGAGTTGGATGATGATGGCAAGTTCAGTGATGATTATGATATGATAATAATAATGAGGGGGACAATGATGTCAAATGCATTTGAGATTACTATTATGATTAGAATAGGGATAACTACAAACGATGATTGATGAAAATGGTTATGATAGCTACAAAAACGATAGATAAAGGCATGATGACAATCATTTTAATGTATGCATGCGGTTCTGTTTTACGTAATAAATGAGATTAATATGTTTCGTGTTTATCATTATGCTTGGCTTTGTGTAGGTAAAGGAGCTTTTTGATGATGTTTTCTTGGCGAAGGCTGATAAATTCATTGATGCTTACTTCTATGAATATTCCAGGCAATTTCACATTACACCAAATACTATACAGGTGAGGAGCCTCTGATACATGAATATGTATTCTGAATGTAAACATTAGTGATACAGATACTGTACTGTTGAATTACGCAAGACTGACAATATTTTGCTTCATTTATAAATTTAATTTTGATACGTTTTTGTAGGTTGGTAATGCAATCCTGGCACGCAAGACCTCTGCACAAGTTCCTGATGCACATTCCATGTCGCCGTTATTCTTTCTGCATCACAGCCTGGATGCGCTGGAAGGAGTGATGAAGTGTGTAGAGATGAACTGGATGGCTATACTTGTAAGTAGAAGTACAGTAGTCACAAATTCGCACAAAATCTAGTGTTTTACAGATTATCATGTTTATATTTAATACATTTTTTGTTACTTGTTTATTTGAGACCAATTATAATTGGGGTTAAGTGTAGTCCAGTTTAGTATGAGTCAAATTCTAATAACTGTGTGTCTTGATTCATTTATTCTAGTCTTTGAGAAAAGTTTAAAATCAGTATGAAATAAATAATCTAATAAATATTATTGCATACTTAGGTTGGCCCCAAGTCATGTGGCAAAACGTCATTGGTCCAGAGTCTAGCCAAACTAACGGGTAACAAATTGCAAGTGTTAGCGATGAACAGTGCAATGGACACCACAGAACTACTGGGTGGATTTGAACAGGTAATTTTAATAGTTTTACAAATCTCCTCTTCTATTACAGCATATTTTTTGTATAGGATGCAAAAAGGAATACATTTAATAAAGATAAAGATGATGGTTATGTGATTGGTAAATATGATTATAATATATTATTAACTTCAGTTTGCATATTTTGATTGACTGAGTCATTGCGTTCACGGGGTCAACTTATATTTTATTTTACATTTTACAGGCTGATTACAATCGCCATTGGGATGAGCTGTATACCAATGTCAAATCAGTTGTATACGCCACAGTGAGGTCTTTGCTTGTGTTGGGTAACCAGAAGCCAATGAGAATGGCATATCAACTGTTAAATACGTGGTACGACTTTCAGGCATCTAACAGAAGTGGTAAGTTATTTGGTTTTGATTTCTTTGGTGTTCATTGACAGTAGTTGGCAATGGTAGTATAACTTAACAGTAACATACTGCCCTCTATGTTTTAACCCTGTTAGGCTCTGCACAAGCAAATTTGTCTGTTGACCGGTTGATGGTTCTGGAGAATGTCGTAATTATGACCAAACAGATGTCTAACAGTTTACAGATACCTTGCACAACAGGTAAATCTAGATGATGGGAAAATAATTTTGATTTATAAATATTTTTTATAATTATTTTTGCTTTTACATATTTAGTTTTGATTAAAACCAAATAAAAATATATAACTTTTTTTTCTATCAGAATACAAATTGTCTGACCTGTTCAGTGGCATCGATCAGTTGAAGACTAAATTTGAGCAAGCTGAGGGGGCATTAATGTCTGGGGGTGGTAAATTTGAGTGGATTGATGGAATGTTGGTGACTGCTTTAAATAAGGGACATTGGCTGCTAATAGATAATGTAAATCTCTGTAGGTAGGTTGAAACCTTGTTGCATAATCAAAGTCATAAAAAGAGAAGTTAAGCTAAAAAGAAAATATAAGAATAATTATATAAATGTCTTAAGTGAACTGCTTTAGAGAAAGTGCAGTAAAGAAGATATAGTCAGCATTAAAAAGGAAGTTGTATATTTGAGCCATTTATTGAAGCTGTATTTTACATTGCAGTCCATCTGTTCTTGATCGCCTGAATGGTCTACTTGAGCCAAATGGTGTCCTCAGCATCAGTGAAAGAGGAGTTATTGATGGCATGGTTCCTACCATCACACCACATCCGACCTTCAGGTAGCTATAAGAAATTGATAGAATTATAATAAAATTTAATAGTTGTGTGGCAACCTTGGATTTTCCAGTCATGGGAAATACAACTTATGTCATAGTCTTGTAAAATAAACCATATGAACATTGATTTGTTACTGTATGTTGTGATATTTTCATATTTTGTTGTGTTTATTTTTAGATTGTTTCTAGCAATGGACCCAAAGCATGGTGAAATCTCCAGAGCCATGAGGAATAGAGGTGTTGAGATTTATATCTTGGGTGAGGTGAGTTAAAAAGTATTTAAGTATCACTGGTGGTGTTGTCACTCTATTGCTTGACTTTTGTCTGGCAGCCCAGAAATTTGCTGTAGGCTTTTTGTGTGATTATATCTTATTTTACTTATTTGTTGTGTAAATTTGATAATATATTTATAAATAAATAAATCTAATTATTTTTTAACAAATTTGATCCTTTTTGTTACAGAATGAAGGTGGAGCGTACACGAAGGCAGACTTAACTACTATGCTTCATGGAATTGGACTGAAAAATGCACAATTAGTTGAGTTTCTTATCTCCACTCACTCCACAATGATAAACAAGACAACAGGCAAGTGACAATGTGTTTTTTGGTTTTTTTTTGTTTAGCCTAGTCATGTCTGCAAATTGCAGGAGCGATTGTTCAATTTCTTATGTAAAAATTGTTCAGTGAGCACAAAATGTATAGAAATATACTAAATCACTTGATTGAGAATTTAATTTTTATTAGAATTGAATTATTGGTATCATTAATTCTGTTATAATTTCATTCTAGGTTTTGAAGCTTACACTGTTCTTGACTTATTACGTGCTGCTGCTCTCATTGTACAACAAGTAGAACGAGGATTAGTCTTGACTACAGCTGTTCGAAATAGCTGCTTAGATGTGTATGTACAAAGCCAGCTTTTGAGTGCTAACAAACAGGTAGGTGATGCTAAATACTGTGTACTCATGACCATTAGATTTGACTTGGCAGCTTTCTTTTTCCCCCATAAAAGTATGGTAATAAAAATAATTTTACAACCTCTGAAAACATTTTAATATTTTTTCCCCATAGAACTCACTGTCAGTTCTTGAACAGTGCTTGGAAGAGTGTAGTCTGCTCAACCACAGTCAGCAGGCAGACAGTCACTCATCTGTCCAATCAGCTTCAATTCTCAGTGTTCAAGAGATTTGCTCAAACTCTAGGCTGAGTATGATCAGTATGGAAGCTACGGCTTTACGGACCATATTGAACCAGTTGACAGAGCACGACCAACTGTGGCATCTGCTTCAGCCAGCAGTCCTGGTGTATCTGGAGCAGACAACTGCCAATGATTGGAAACTGAGAAGTGATTGGCTGACAAATATATGGAAATCGCATCCAGCGCTGGCAGACAAGGCAATGACAAGCTCACCAGAATACCCAGACTTTGTCCGGTGTATGCCAGCAATAGTAGAAGCATGTCTCCAGAGATTACTCACCAGTCCTTTGGTGGATAAGTATAAAGAACAGATGTCTCGGCTTCAAATATACCTCAAAGGTACATTATTATATACTCTCTGATCAAGCTAGTCTTATGAGTTCAGTACCTTTGATTATGACTTCGAGATTTCTAATGTGAAAAATAGAGAAGCCTTGTGTGTATTAGAAAAAACCTTGATATTCCACACTAATAAAGACTTATATAAAAGATATCAAATGATTTTTGTAGATATTCCAGACTTGCCGTTGGACATGAACTGGAACCAGCAGCAACTGCACATGCTCATGACGAAGATCAGACGAACAAGTGGTGATGGCACAGAGTTGGACTCCACTATTCTCTACAGGTAATGAATATTATGAAAATTGTTTTGAGTAGATGATCTTTTTACCGCGATATCTACTATCAAGTAATATTTTATTAAAGGCACAATGCTTTTGAAAATTATTAAACATAGTATAAAAGATGTTTGTTTTGCTGATTGCATTTTTTATGTTTATGATTTTTGTTCTCTTGTCTGTAGGTTCAGTGTGCTGTTGGTGAGAAGCCTAATCAAATATGTTGAAGGAGCAAGCCTAGATGGCATTCGTAACCGGACACAACCACCTCGAAGTCCGCTACAGTTTTCTTATGCTTTAAATCAAGGTAGATTTATTACATTTCATAGCAGACTATTTGATTTTGATTTTATTCTACTTGCTTTTGTTTTGCCAGCTATATAACACATTACTGTCTGAAATTTAATAAAATTGTGTGGTTTATTATTTTTTATTAGCCTAGCAATAAATAATGAATATGACAACACTTTAGGTTGCTTAAGTTGTGAACCTTAGAAGACTTATTTTAACACTCTGCCTGCCAAACACAGAGATCTCCGTGTTTGGTAACACAACGCTCGACTGCCAAACATGGAGATCTCCGTGTTTCAGGTTTTTTAATGGAATCCGATAGATGGGGTAATTACCGACATGTACTAACAATTTAAACACTGTATTCAGTCTGGACCGCAAGTATTTCACTATTTGTCTGTTTACATTGGCATAGAGCAGTATTGCTTTACTTACAAAAAATCACGATTATCTCAGCTTCCTCGTGCGAAATTGCGTAAATCTCTAAAAGCGAGTCATTTTCAGATTGTGATTAGAATAAAATGTTTGGTACCATTGTAAAGCTAAAATGTTTGTAGTTCTTGTAGTATTCACTACATGTCAATCGGATCACATCACACTCTCAACAAGCTTTGGAAAAGTGTTAAAATTTTCTAAAAAGTCTGGCGGTGGCTGATACTATTTTTTCAAACCTCTGGCGGTCAAAGTGTTAAGATTATAAATAAGTATACAAGTTTAATTATCAAAGTTTAAAGAAAAAAGTATATCAGTATTTAAATAAGTATATTAAGTAGTGTATATAAGTAAGTATATCTAGTTACACTTGTTGATATCTCATCTTTATCATTTGTTTATAGGCTTGATTTCTGTAGATCATCTACCGCACCCATCCTTTGCTCATTTGTACCCTCTACTCCAAGCTTGGGATGGTTACATCATGACCAGGTTGATGGACTTGACGACGCCACTCACAGAAGATCAGTTGCATGAGGTAAACATCAGTATTTTTAACTTTTTGGTTCCGATTAACTTTAATTCCTACTATGGAATAGTAGGAAGGCCAGTGCTAAAACTATGGCCATGTACTACCGTTGTGGTATGCCTGAATGGATCTACTATAGTGTGATAAGATTGAATTGTTCTCACGATAAACGAGTTGCAATACACCAACTGAAATGTGCCAACCGTTCACCTACAGCACAGGTGGCCAAAATGTGGCCGCTGCCAGTGGTGTTTTAGCAGCCCGCAAAAATGAATTACAAACCCTATGTGTGTGGCTCGCCAACCATTTGGCTATAAAACACATTGTTTGCTGCCCGGCACCGAATCAAAATAAAAAGTAATAGTAAAACTGAGCATAAACTGGCCATAAAACAGTGTATGAAGGTTTTTGAAAGTGCACTGATAATACATCAAAGTCTAGGTGAGGCCCTCGGAGTTGTATCAAAAACTCACTTTGGCCCTCCGACCAATTTTAATGCCCACCCCTGACCCAATCCCTAGCCCCAACCTTGTTTGTTTTGGTCAGAAGGAGCAAGCCTAGCTAGTCTAGTGTTTCAGTTTATTTATTAGGCCAACATGGTGTGACAACAGACCCATTTTGTCTTCTCTCTCCCCCCACCCAATGAAAACTTCAAAAATTGAAATGTATAAAAACAAATATTCCAAATATTAACACTGTGTTGACACTGTCAGAAAGTAAGATGAAACTTTAAAATAATCTCCCCATTCGTTTTAAAAAGCTGTTTTAATTGACAAATAAACTTTTGTATTTGTTCAAAATAAATTATTACTTGCCATTATAAAGTAACCATAGAATTGAGAAAACTGCTCTTTAAATACACAGGAATTCCAGACCAATACATTTAGTATTCTTACTTGCAGCATTGTGGAACGACCAGGACGTCAGACCAAAAATATTAATTTGCCTCCTAAACATTATTTTGTTTGCCTATCCTTGATATTTTTGGTCTCAAAGCACAATTTTGGGCCATACTAAGCCATAAAAACTCTCCCCATGAACCCTTCCAGGATTTATTATTCTGGGACCCTGATCAAGCCTGTATTCGGCGACTTGTCGGAACCCTCGTTGGCAATTTTTGTGAGCCACCATTGATTGAGATCGCAATATGTGTCTTGTAATCTTTAGCTAGTTGTGAAATAATGTATATAATATGTAATTTTTCCTATCCTCACTGTTGCTGTTAACTTGTGTTTACAATTTAGCTTTTGCTTAATAGTTTGTATCTCAACCAGCCATTGTTTAACACGGCATTGTTTTCCAGTATTTTGTCATGTAATTTGTATAAATATGTATAATTATCTTTAATTGTATGCACCAGTAGAGCTTACACAAGAGTAATGTGTTGCTTTTTATAAAAATGATTTATTTGTTAAAGTTCCTAGAAAAACATAATGAGTTGAATTATGTTTATCTAAATATGAACGCTTGTTTTGATAATGTTGAAATTTTAAAATGATCTATTTGTCATTGAATAACTTTTTGTTGAATGGATATAAAAAGACACGTTAAAAAAACACCAAAACCGAAAGGTCCACTGATTAATCTCAGATAAGATAGTATAATACATACTCTAAGTATCGAAATGCATGCCATCGTGTTGGGATTCAATATTTGGACATTAATTATGTCATCATCAGAAAACACAACTTAGCTTCATATAATTATTAATGTTTGTTAGCATTTTTATGTGTGCATGATTTTTTTATACGTGTTTATTAGTAGAAGTTATTCATACCAACTATGAAAGCTTGTGGCGAATTATGGAATAAAAATAAAATATGATTTGCCTAAATATAAGGCCAAAAAAAATAAATTGTTCGTTTGCCCTCTTTTTAAAAAAAAAATGATAAATAGGGGTGGGGTTTTTTTTTTTTTTTTTTTTTTTTAACATACTCAGATGGAAAAAAAAAACCCACAGAGGCCTAGAATGGCAATATCTTACATTAGGCAACAACTTTAGACAAATTTGTAGGGCATCTGGCAAAAAATTAAGATAAATTCACTCGTATTTTTTTTTTATTTTTAAAGAAAAAAGCTAAAAAAAAAAACTTTAGTTTTTTTTTTCCACCCATATTTTTTTCAGTGAGTTTGGGGCAGGTGAAGGAGGGCAAACAAACATTTTTATTTTCCTAATGTCATTTTCGCAGATACATGGACAAATCAAATGTTATTTGTCACAAAACCTGCAATTTCCAGAGTTTATTCTTCCTCTCATTTTAAGTTTCAAAGAACTCATTAATATTCATGAGTTTAATCTTTTCCATGTGTTTGTAGATCAGCAGAATTAGCCAAGAGTCCTTGAATTAACTTACCTAGGCCCAGTGAAAGCAAGTAAAAACTTCGCCATTTACTAAGGAAAAAAACACCATACAGATGAAAAATTTAGTTTAATAGGAAATAGCTGTAACAGTTTTCTGTCTACATATAGAAAAACCAATAGATGATTTGAAACAAATATAAATGAACACTAAACCCAACAGCAGTATATTTGAGCCAAGGATTTATTTGTAGGTAATTATAACAACTCCTATACATGAGCACATAAAACGATGTGATGGATTTTAAACATATCTTTGAAATTAACGTTGTTCTACAAAATGAAAATACATCATCTCTAAAAAAAAGCGTTCATATTTGATAGCAAAATTCTATGACTCTACACTGGTCACAGATTTTCATGGAGATGCATGGAGGCTCTGGCTATTAGAAGTTTCAAACCTGTATTATTAAACAATTGGTTGAGAGCATCCAGTGAGCTCTTAATACTTACTAAATTTCTAAGTGTGTACTTAATTTATTCACTTACTATTATTTGCTATTTATTCTTAACATTTCTCCCAACTGCTAATTATATATTTGTAGCTTACTCAATTGTTTATTTTTCTCCCCATAAACTTTAATCCGCTAGCATTCCCAGGCTCCTTCTACGCTATATGTTTATTGTACATTTGACATTGTTTATTTCCTTATATTAGTTTGACAGTTTAATTTTTGCTTTTATGATTGTTCTGTTTTAATCACTCTGTTACACTCCTGCAATATTTGTATCTGGCACACTTTATTCAAAATTTGAATACAAGGCCCACATACAGGCCCAACACGTAACACGATTGCCTTCCATGGGGCTGTCAGTTTTGGAGTTGCAATTAACGGGAACAGATCCAGAGATGTCCGAAAAGGGGGGGGGGATCAAGATAACCATTCTAAGGGATCCCCCAAATTAGGGGACCAAAAAAAATTCTCTCCCCCCCCCCCAACTCCACCCCTGATTAAATTTGCAAATCCAGGTACTGTACATGCCCAATTATTTCTTATAATAATAAAGCAGAGATGTTGAATATGGTTGTAAATAGAAGTCTGTTGTAAATACATATGGATAGATGATGTTTTACCATCATGGTTCTTGAAAATGATCAAGGAGATTGAAAATTTGAATCTTCAAAATGTTTTCTTATGAATGTTACTGTGTAAATGTTTTAATTAAATTAGTGGATCCTCTGGTTTTAAATAGGGATTAGCTAAGATAGATACCTTTATTATTGTCATAATACAAAGTACAATTTTGCTTTCATATTGCGAATCTGCTCCCGAGTATAAATATGTTACAAAAAAAAAACATGGTATCATAAAAACAATTATAACTACATGAATTTCATTTATTTTCTCTTATTAAATTCAATAATTGCTGAAGGCATAAGAGTTCCTAAATCTCACTCCTCCATAAACCTCCTAAAGCCAGGAGTTTAGGAATAGGTGAAGCAGAAAGAAAAATTAATTTTGGTTATGTGTTTATAGTTATTGGTTGCTGAAGTGTGGAGAGATAGGTTCTGGCAATGTTGTAATCAGTTGTGTGTTGGCCGTGATGCTGACTATCTGAAACAGATATCATTACACTGGAGTTGGATGCTTAGAAAAACTTTCAGGGTTGTACCATTCATCTTGCAGGGCAATGCATCAAGGTAAGCTCATAAAAATTATATTTAACTCATTGGTAAATGTTTAAATTTATAAGGCTATACCATTTTTCTTCTTGGGTTATAAAATGTGTGCGACACTTCCCTACTGCCTGGGTAATAAAAAAGTTAACACATTTGCTAAGGGATAAAAATGAAAAATTCATCTATACCTACTATTGTTAACTTGCTTAATATGCATCATTAACTATTTGATGGTGCTTATTAAGCAAGTACCAATTTTTTATAATCCGGTGGAGATTTAAAATTTGAATCTTCAAAATGTTTTCTTATGAATGTTACTGTATAAATGTTTAATTAAATTAGTGGATCCTCTGGTTTTAAATAGGGATTAGCTAAGATAGATACCTTTATTATTGTCATAAAAATACAAAGTACAATTATGAAATTTTCCTTTCATATTGCGAATCTACTCCCGAGTATAAATATGTTACAAAAAAAAACATGGTATCATAAAAACTACATGAATTTCATTTATTTTCTCTTATTAAATTCAATAATTGCTGAAGGCATAAGAGTTCCTAAATCTCACTCCTCCATAAACCTCCTAAAGCCAGGAGTTCTCTATGAATTTAGGAATAGGTGAAGCAGAAAGAAAAATTAATTTTGGTTATGTGTTTATAGTTATTGGTTGCTGAAGTGTGGAGAGATAGGTTCTGGCAATGTTGTAATCAGTTGTGTGTTGGCCGTGATGCTGACTATCTGAAACAGATATCATTACACTGGAGTTGGATGCTTAGAAAAACTTTCAGGGTTGTACCATTCATCTTGCAGGGCAATGCATCAAGGTAAGCTCATAAAAATTATATTTAACTCATTGGTAAATGTTTAAATTTATAAGGCTATACCATTTTTCTTCTTGGGTTATAAAATGTGTGCGACACTTCCCTACTGCCTGGGTAATAAAAAAGTTAACACATTTGCTAAGGGATAAAAATGAAAAATTCATCTATACCTACTATTGTTAACTTGCTTAATATGCATCATTAACTATTTGATGGTGCTTATTAAGCAAGTACCAATTTTTTATAATCCGGTGTAGTGGTGGATAAGTTGCTTGGCCTCATCTATTTTTTCCTTGAATGCAGTTTTTTTCTATGGGTTTTTTATTATGTGCAATATTTGTTGTGTTTTTGATTTTGTATTTGAAAAATATTTAAATTTTCTAAATAGATTGTATTTTGAAGTCATTTATGTAATCTTTTGGTATTATTGAATTTAGTAATTTTTTAATGTGATTTTTCTTATGTATTTTAATGTTGTGTCCATTCTTGTTGCAATTTTATTTATAATATTTTTAATATTCTTGCATTTTTAATATATTCTATTTTTGTAAATACATTCATTTCAGCCTTTGGCTGCCGTTTGTATATTTCCTTTTATACCTGAATAAATAAATAAGAGTAACAAATATTTAACATAAAACTGAAATGGAATATTCTATTTTCTAGGCTTACAGAGTAACCTTCCTATGGTATTGTGTTACTGTTCTATAAGTTTCTATTCACCTTTTGTTATACTATGGGCGGTAAAGAATAGTGTACTTGTTCACGATTACTCATTGAAAGCATAGTAACAAGAGAATCAAAGTTTACTCCTAGTACATAATCATACAATACTGCCCTAGGCAGTGAACCATAAAACTTGGAATATAAGACGCATTGTTGTAAAGTGGCATTAAAAAAATTCATGAGTATACCTTAGTATGCTTAAAAATAAAAGGTCAGCATTGCATTTCAACAATTGAATACATTTTGTTTACTTGTATATTGAATTTCCGATAAAACTTCCTACAATTTAATAAAAAATGTTATGGTGTGTAGGTTCATTGTTGAAACTGTTGCTATTAACAGCTTTTGTTTGAAGCTGGGAGAGGCACGAAATGCTTTTTAAAGATAAGACAAGAAATTACTCCTTAAAAAAGTAATATGTTTATCAGACACTTTGTAATATAGGCAGAAAGTTGAAATAATAATGATTATTAATTACTGTACCTGAAGAACTTACAAATAGTATTGCCAAGATTGATGAAGTAAATTGAAACTGGAATGTAATTAAGCCTATTGTGTGGTAGAAGTATCGCATACCAAGATTTGCATGTTCTCATTAGCTATTATGTAACCAAGATTTGCCCAGCTCATTTGCATATCAATAAGCCTTTCTGATTGGCTGGTGTGTGGTTACAATATCCTTCACTCCATTACAAGACACACATTCAGAAGGTTGTAAGCCAAGCAGCAAGGTTGGTTTAGTGAGAACATGGCTTCATGGTCAGAAGGCTCTGGTTTTGCAGCAGATTAAGCTGTCATTAGCATAGGAATGCGGTTTAGAATATCAAAAACTAAGCCATTTTGTTTGCCAGCACAAAGGGCTAAGATTTACCAGTCCTTTATACTAAAGGCAACAGGTTGGTACAGTGACTACTAGTGAGAAGGCTGTAGTGTTACAGATTTAGGCTACAACATAAGCACGAGTTAAGGGCATGTTTCTTCCAGTTTAAAATCTAATGAGTTAAACCGGTATTCTTGTATTCCTAAATGTGTGGTTGTCTTAGCCATTGGTAAATGTGTGGTAGCCTAAAGACATTGGTTTTTAATAATGCCACAGTAGTGAAAGGATGCTGTTAGCCCTACAGTTCGGAAATTTACTTGCGGTAGTTGTTTAGGTATTTGTTGTTTAACCCTATAGAACTGCACAATGCACATTGAATAGGCTTTTAGTTCCAGTTGTATTTATCCATTGACAATGAATAGTGTGACCTGTATTCACCTTGTGTTCAGTCTAGTAGGATTAGTCCAAGGTTTTTGAAAAATATTTCCACTCTTAAAAGAGGACATATTTCACAACTTGCGCTCTATTTGAAGAAGCTATTTGTATACTTGTGTTAGCTTTACAGGTGAAATTGGCTGTTAACGATTTAAATCGTAAAGCATTTTTCATTTGGAGTTTCATTCAATTTTACTAGGCCTTTATTTTTCAACCTATTGATAATTCATGTTCTTGTCTGCTTAAAAATATTTACAAATGTTTCTGAATGTTTAATTTTAAATTGATATAATCTTTTCCACTGCTTTTTTAGTCTTCCTAAAGAATTTGAGGCGATTGCTAGCAGAATATACCAGCACTTTGGCAATGAAGATGAGAGCTCTCGAAACTTTGTCAACATATGGAGAAGTATCGGGCATGTTGCTCCATATCGGTCTAACTTGGTGGCGGAGATGGCAGAGCATCTTGATACACTGGCCAACTGCATGGATCTACAGAGATTAGCTCAGAATTTACAATCTAGCTCCGGGATGAAGGCACTGAACAGGTGTATAAAATTCCTAATCCAAGATCATGGGACCACTTCAACGAAGGTTGTTGAACTGTTAATGAAAGTGGAAAAACTGAATTGCAATTCAAGTAACACAATTGGCAAGTCCTTATTTTTTTAACTAACCTGTTAGGTCGAACTGTGGGTGATCAATTAATACTAATTTGCATTACATGTGAAGGTTTTAAATATTTTATCCTTGTATTGCAGATGATGATGTACTTGACGAGATTGACCAACTTGAAGCCCACCTTGTTAATTTCTCATTGTACAAAAGACTGCCGGACATGGTGGCGGTAGATATTGGCATGGAAACTGAAATGAATAAGGCAACTGAAAATGATGCAAATGCTAGAATGGAAGCAATTGTAGAAATACTTCCACTGAAACAACATTTGAAGGCGATGGCAGAACACAATGTCCTCTGTCGCATCTTGGAGAAAAATGTCACTGGTGTCGATGAAAAGTTAGTACACTGTCTCATATGCATGTAGTTGATAAATATTCTTAATATCTGTATGCATGTATGCACAGTAGTTGCCGGTTTCCTGTTACTTGTCTATTTAGTTGCAGGCTGTGATGGGTGCCAATGCTGATATATGAAGAAGTATTGCACTTTTCATGGCCTGTCACTTGTAGGCTCCTCATCCAGTGTGGCGTGAATCTGCTTTTGGGTCGGTAGGCCATGTCTGTTGCTAATACTGATCATGCTACCGCAGTATTGCACTGGACCTGGCCTTCTGAATCAAAGCTATGGTCAACCTAGAAGAAATCAAATGGATCTTAAATGGTAGTATCGTTCTCAACAATCAGTGTGGATGAAAGGGATGTGGAATAGAGTGAACTGGCTAAGCAGTTCTTTAGGTCTTGAGGAGTGCAAATCTGATGGTAATTCAGCCCAGAATTGCACTTCTCCCGGCCTAGAGAATCCAGTCGTTGCAACAAATTCCACTGCAGCAGACCTGAATATTAATGGCAGGGAATTGCTACTTGCTACTATGGATCACTAGATTTTCTACTAAGTAAATGAGCAAGAAGTTTTATATGCATTTCTCAAGGTGTAAAAGCAAAGCTGTATGCTTTTTCAACTTCCCTTGTAGATGGTGTTCAATGAATTTGAAAAGAATCTACCTTCGAATACATGTTCATATCAATCTTTGTATTTGTGTATATAGAAATGTTTTTAAACTTGATTACTCTGATTTATATTCAGCTACGACGAAGACCTCTCTAGTTTGCTAACCTTCACAACTGGATCTTGCCTAGCGAATCTGAACCGGCAGATGCTGCTGCGACAAATGTCAGATATGTTGCATGACCAACCAGAACTGGGGCCATGTATTTTGCAAGCCCATCAAAAATTCACCCAAGATGTCATTTGGCAAGCAGCCAATATGCAAGTTGATTTCTGGTTGTCCTGGACATCAGAAGATGAAGAGAATGAACATGGTTTATGGTTCAATGTAAATAAGAATTTAAAATACCATGATTACACTATAATATAATTATTTTAATAAACTGAACAAAGCTTGTGTAACAATTTTCACCTGGTGAATATTTAGACATAATCTCTAAAACCAATTGCCATTGTCAAAATTAAGCAACGTGTTTGCAATAATTGAAATTGACCCATTATCAATGCATTTTTAGGGGAACAGCTTGCTATATTCACCTTTACTGTCACACTGCCTTTTCAAGTTAATGGTTTCTGAAGGAAATGCAACAGTTACGTCAAAGATGGCCGACAAATCTATTGCAACGATTACTCTGGGGAAGTTTAAGGAAAAGAACGACCAGCTAATGAAGATAAAAAATATATTGTGGCAGTGCTCTGGGATAATGGGATCAGATACAATGGAGCAAAGGTGATGTTTTGGGTCGAACATCAACAGTTAGCTGCTTAATAACAATTAAAACAAAGGTTGTTAGGAGTGGGACATAATAGAAAAATGAATATAAATTAGTATTTGTGTACTTGTGATCATTGTGGAAAACTAGATAATTTAATTGATACTAAAATAATTAAATGAAATTTATATTACACTATATTATGTAGATTATGTAATGTACATAAATTCACGCACTACATATAGTGCACCTATTATATAGCAAATTTCACCTCCCTGCCCTCATCAAATTTTGGAGCCTCATGAAAAATGTGCTATTTGCTATTTTTCAAAAAGAAAAACATTCATTTTCGAACGGACAATAAAAATAATAACTCGGAAAGAATGTCAAGTCTAAGAGGTGGGAACATAAATGGCAGAATTAATACACATTCATTTTACTTTTATAAAAAAATCTATTCTTACTATTTACTGGCATGTTTACCATTAGTATATAGGATAGTAAGAAACAAGTAGTAAATACCTCACCAAAAAATAATTTTAAATCCGAATGCGAAACAATTTCATTTTGTGTTGAAAATGCACAGTACTTTAATGCTTAATGGGAATGTATTATACACGCTGCAGTACAGTATAAACTTCAAAATACAAACATAGTAGCAGAGTATGGATTCAATCAACAGACATGGAAATATAGAAATACTAAAATATATAACTCATTACTGGTGACCAAGGGAATCCGTAGTTCAAAACCATGGTGCTAAACAAGCTGGTGCGTTGGTACTGCTTCTGCTGCATCAGATGTTTATTTAAACCTATATACAGTAGGCACTAAAAGTGCCTCATGCATATGCTTAATTAGGTGCATGATTATTGTAGCTAATCAGACAATCCAGGATGTTATGTAACCATGGTTTGTTATCAACAAGAATTAACGTGACAAATAATTGGGGTACTGAAGTACGAGAAAGAAGTTAAATCACATGAAACATGGAATGGGGTTGTATACAGTATTAGCAACCTTTAAATTTACTTTAAAAAGTACAGTATACAGAAACATGGATTGGTTTTTTTTTTGGTTTTTACAATTTCACAAAAAAGTTTGTATGACAAATTCACAGGGAGCTACTCATAAACATGCATGTGCTTTCACTGGGTTCTTCTACATGCAAATACAGTACACACCTAAACCAACTGTTTGAATACTAGAGCTTCCCTTGCTCTTTCAACCCAATAATTAACCACCTTTTAATTTTACAATTATCCATTTATTAGTTAGGTGACCTTGACCTTTCACCTCAAAATTGAATGTCCTTAGACTAGTATATACCATTCCACTAAATTTTATGATCTATTTTGGTTAATCCTGCAAACAGATAAATGGTTGTGAGTACAAACATCATGAAGAGATATTGAATCATTACAAAGAAAGCAGCATTGGCAGGATTGTACAAATACAAAATATACGTTTCATTTTTATTAGGAATGTTGGCTTCAGTTCGAAGCCAACATCAATATGAAGCCACATTTAATGTCAATTATGGAAAAGACCACATTTAATGACATCAATCATGAAAAATGCCACATTAATGACATCAATTTTAAGCCACATTTAATGACATCAGTTTGAAGCCACATTAAATGACATCAGTTTGAAGTCGCATTAAATGACGTCAGTTTGAAGTCGCATTAAATCACGTCGGTTTGAAGTCGCATTAAATGACACGAGTTTGAAGTCTCATTAAATGACATCAGTTTGAAGTCGCATTAAATGACATCAGTTTGAAGTCTCATTAAATGACGTCAGTTTGAAGTCTCATTAAATGACATCAGTTTGAAGTCAAATGACATCAGTTTGAAGTCTCATTAAATGACATCAGTTTGAAGTCGCATTAAATGACGTCAGTTTGAAGTCTCATTAAATGACATCAGTTTGAAGTCAAATGACATCAGTTTGAAGTCTCATTAAATGACATCAGTTTGAAGTCGCATTAAATGACGTCAGTTTGAAGTCGCATTAAATGACATCAGTTTGAAGCCACATTAAATGACATTAATTTGAAGGCATCATTAAATGACATCATTTTGGAGCATCATTCTCAACACATTTCTATTAATGTTCTACCCAAACTTTTTAACCTAGTTGGGTTCAATAATACATTTTGACGGTAATTATGTGTTGTAGATCACAGTTACAGTGAAATTGAGGGCCGTTTATTTAAGTATATACATTTTACACAAAAAACCGTCTCCCTCGAATAAATGCTCCTTAAAATTCTTTTCCAACAATAAATGCCCCGGGGCGTTTATTCAAATATATTCAAATTGTTCACAAAATGGAAGCATAATTATGAACATATAAATTCTGTGCATAGAAAATTAATCCTAATAAAATATGATTACCATACTATCAACAAGCTTACAACACGAGTACGGTACCTAATACTTTTAATACCGCTGCAATGTTTAACAAAATCTTTTTTTTTTTAGGTCTGTCGATCACAAGTCTCTCTGCTTACACTTGTGTCATCTTCTGACAGCTTTGTCTTCATTTGTAAAAGAGGAAGCTGTGGAGAGGTACCATCAACTCTTGGATGCCATCACTGCCATTCATACCTCAGCAGATCAGAGTAGTTTGAGATTATTTACAGGATCCTTCTATAACATCTTCCATTTTGAAGGAGAAACACAAGCAATAGAATTTGATCAAAAAATTGTAAAAAAACTACCAAGACGATGTATTAGACTGATGTTGAAGTGCTTTGAACTTTTACTCCAGTCTTCTTCTAGCAGCGACGATAACTGTTCGGAGGATTTTGTAAACATGCCAGAACACCTAGTGACAACGTTACGGAATGGTTCTGGTTTTGTGGTTCTCGGATGTTTGCAAATTCTTCTACTGTCTCCGTGTGGACCAGTTGATCCAGCGGAGAAGCAGTGTGTCAAGTTAGCACACTTGAAGAAGGAGGTAGAGTTCAAATATATTTTAGCTACACATTCAGTTTTTTCTTGCATCCTTTTGATATCATGATTATTATCCATGTCTGCCAAGGACAGATTGCAGTGAAAGTGTCAACCTATTTGAAACTTTTTTTATTAACACCACAGTTTTACTTCAGTGACAAACTAAATGGGGTTTACAAGGGAATACATCACCTCCCCCCCTTTTTTCCCCTTTTTCTTTCTTACAAATGTAAGTTCCAAATTTGTAGGATTTCCCCTTTTTCTCTTGTACAGTCTCGTATACAGTTTTTGTTGGCACACATTGAACATTGTTTTATAAATATGTTTGATGCGTACAGTTCATACACGATCTTGTTCGGTTATCCTCAAGAATATGGTATAACAATTAATTAAATAAATTTAATGATATTAGTCTAGCAATTGACTACATATCATGGAGCAAATAGCCATATTCCGGTCTGTATGCATTCACAGACGAAATTTAATTCATGCACAAGTAATGAGACCCATTCAAAAATACTGATCTTAGTTAAAAAATTAAACTTAATTGCAATTATTTACTAAATATCACTTTTTCTACTAGGCCCTGGATATTGAAAGGGAGTTGCAAGTGAGGGGTATGCAGCTGCAGTTGCTGACGGGCAAGACCCTACAGGATTGTAAAATCGACAAACATCCTCCAAGACTGCGATTCCTGCTCAAACGATTGACAACTGTCCAAATGCAGATAGAGAAATTAGCTCAAAACACAGCTGCTCGACCGGAAAGGTGCCAGGTGGGATAATTCAAAATTAAGTTCTTTCAATTCTAATGCTAATTTATGTTAACATTTTTTAATGTAATTGTTGTTTTTGTGTATATATATCACATCATTTATTTTGCCAACAATTTTTTATAGAAATACAACAAAACACTTTTATCTATATAACATATTTCATTGCGGTTAACTCATAAACTCACTGGCTTTTGTAGAACTCCCCATGAACATTTGATGCTAAGAAAAATGCAGTTTTAAAGCATGATGAAATAATTTGTAGTGTTTGTATGTCTACAGTTAAATTTTTTGTGTTATCAGGAATTGGAAGAACTGTTATCTCCAAAAGTAGAAATTGCTCGAAAAACCTTTAAAAACTATTTCAAAAATTGTGTTGTGTTTTTTTTATAAACTTGCGTCATTTTGGTTCATTTCAAGAAAGATACCTGTTTCTTTGTTAAGCAAATTTGGGAAAACATCTTTTCGTTTACATAAATTGGATTGGATTTAAACACCAAGGATAGCCCACGAAAGTCTAGAAGACAACATATTTCCAGTGGGGTCCTTCTGGTGGTGATTGTGCAGTACACGGGGAGACAATCCCCTACTCTTTTCCGAAGAGTGTACTGCGTTCTTTAACGAGCACATGGGCCATAATGCACACGGGACCAACGGCTTAAACGTCTCATCCAAAAGATGGTGCGCTATTGTAACTTGTATTTCAGCCCTCTAGCTGAAACACAAGGAGAGGCAGCGATGGGAATTGAACCGGGGACCTAGAGGTCTCCACAGTTTAGCGCACACACAGCTTATAATTTTCTGTGTAATTGCAAGACATCAGAGTTTTTTCTATTATTAAATTATAGATGTTTATTTTTCTTTTCAGTTCCATGACCTGGTACAAGAAATTAACCACTACAAATCCAGTATTGGCTCTGAGCAGACAGTAGAGGGCTTGTTTTGTGATCTACGGACGAGCTTCTATGAATCACACACCACAGACAAGTTCTCTGATGTCCCACCTCTGCTGAGACGAGGGCGGGCCTGGCTCCACTCCCAGCACCAGTTCATCTCCAAGTTGCAAGACAGTTACCCCCTCTATAGGGACCTCATTCAACCATTCCTGGGAGGCGTTTCGCACTTGATCTACGGGATGCAGTTGATGGTGGAAGCTGTTGAGCGTTTGTACAGACGACAATCACTGATGATCAACACTTCACTGGTATATATGATATTTCTTTTCTTTGCATTATTTTGAATGCATCCCACAACAGTGGGATGCATTGTGGGATTAATTTTTTTCACTTCATGATTATTTATTTATGATTTTAAGTAGTTTTCCTAATGCTTTCATGTTACTTCAAGTGCAGAAGTGAATGATATAAGTTTTTTTTTTTATTAGGATATTAGATGTCTCGAGAATGTGATACAAAGTCTGACATGCTTCCCTTTGCCTAGTTGTCTGCACCAAACCAGCGGAAGTAGAGCTGACTTTCTGTGCAAAGAAGCAACGATGCAGACAGTGCTGGGCCTAGCCAGAGAAAATCATACACAGCATCTTGCAGAACCACAGATTGACCACAAGAACAGGTATCACCTAATGTCCACCTTAATATTGTTGTCATTGTCTTCATGTAATCATCATCACCATAATTTTTGTCATCACAATCATCAATATCATCATGTCATCATCATCAGCATCGTTATCATCATTCACAAATATTAATGGTGCCTGTAGATTATTGACTTATTGAAAAAATATATTTTGACAATAAGTATAATTTGTGGCCTGGTGTTTAAGATGCTCGCCATAATTCCATGGGCCTGGGTCCAAATCCCCTGTCAAACCAGAGTTAGTTTTTCTCATGACTCGCAATATGATGCGATTTGGTATATAAAGTATCACTATCATGCAAGAGATGAATCATTCATTGTTGGATGAGATTGAAATAATATCAACTATATACATTTCACTTCAGGCTGTTGATGATCATTCTCCTCCATCTACAAAACCACACCATGATGTCCAGCTATGTGTCGCCCTCAATCATGGACTTACTGACAGCCATTTTTTCAACATTTGTCAATTCGTGGCAAGATGCTCAAGAGGCAGCAAAAAAACTTGCAGAAGAGGAGGAGAGTCTGTTCCGGTTCAAAGCCAGAGTCCATTGTGAGGAAGCAACCGACGAAGAACAGGAGGAGATGGAGATAAAACAATCTTTTCCATCATTTGATCAGGTTGGTTTTCTTACATGATGACATAATCTATTTATAGCCCACAGTCATCTTTTCTATATGTTCAATAAACATTCCGAGTTCTCAGTCCTTGTACATGCTGACTTATAATACATTCTTTACACATTACGAATATATATGCAATTGTATTATTAATATTCATAATATATGCCTCACAAAATATGAATATACATGCAAATGTATTATTAATATTCTTAAGCACACATGCTAATTAACATACATTATAAATTTTCATTACAAAAGTAAATTTGGATTGTACTGTGACCATCTACATTTCAAAATATTGTTTTACCTTAATAAGATATACGTTGCCACTAATAGGATTTTGCTGATCTTATCATCCAACCAACCCTTGAAAGTAAACCAAAGCAACAAGCATCCAAGGATCAGATGTCATCAACAAACAATGATAACCATGGTAACTTGTCACAATTGGAGATGTACCAATTGACCACAATTCATCGGGATGTGTTTAGTAAATTAACAGACAGCCATTGGCTAACAGCATCTTGCAGTACTATAGAGAGCGTTGATTATTTTGAAGTTTTTCGTCAGGGTTATCAGCTGTCAGCCTGTCTGTATGATGGATCTATGGATTTACTAGGTTAGTTAACATGAAATCCTTAATCAATCAAACTGTCAATCCATAGCCTACAGTTTCGCTAACCATTTCTTAAGATTTTTTGAATACAATAACTATCAAATATTCTATAATTTAATTTCATTTGCAGATTCCAATATAGATGCCCAACTCTGTGGATCTCACCTGCTGCAAAATGGACTAGTCCTAGCACAGATTCACCCTGAAAGCTCTGATGTTCTTGTAACAAATCCTACCACAAAACCATTTGACATATATCATGACCCCTATGTGTCGGAGGTTGCACAATGTAGACCGATCTTGGAAAAGTTCACAGTACACATCAAAGAGCTTTTGAAGGATTGGCCGGATCATCCCATTTTGAAACAGGTAATTTTAATTATTACATTCTGAACATTACAGCATTACTGACATGTCTATCTCCTTTAGTAAAGTGTACATGTTATAAGATATGGATGAGGCTACATTATGGCTATCTGGCTTCTTGCCTTCTTCCATCCATCCATTTCTATTTCCACATCAACGCAGAGATTAGGCGGAAAAGATGACAATGGATTTTGTCATGTACTAAGGACCAGCAATATTGCATGGACAATCAAAGTGAGAATAGAGAAGAGGCAGAACATGGACAACATAGAGAACAAGGAAAAGAACGTGGCAAAAGAAAAAACGACAATCCATGATAGCTTGTGAGAGTATGTTAATGCCCTACATGCTACATAACACAATATTCGGTGCCACAATAAACATTGTTTTTGTTATTGCAGATGGCATTGATAATTAAACGTATACTTTCATTCCCTGTAACCTCATCCTTAATGAAGTTTGCTTCTGGGTTAGAACTGCTTTTGGAAAAAGCTCAGGTGAGAACTCAAGAATGAAATACACAAAATTTTAGTTATAGGGGAAAAATACAATTAGATAGTATTCGTTAAGAGTGTTAAAACTACATCTTATTTTAGAATCTATCTTTTGTATTTGATGTATAGAACACCAAATACAATCTAATAACTACACTTCTAGTATAAAATATAATATTAAGAACTAAATAAACTGTATTCTAATACACATACCATGTAGTAAATTCTAGCATTCAGTATGCAAGTCCAGGTATCGAATATTAATCAGATAGACGACTGCACAATCAATAAACTGTTAGATGTGCTCTGAATATTGAAAGAAAATGAATGTCGATTGATGGATTGAGGTAACTAATGGTAATTATTACATAAACTTGAAGATTGCATTAGGTAACACTATTAATTACTTTTTTTTAGGAATGGGAAAGGAATGCTAGCAAAGCTGTGTCACTTCAAGACCACTTGGAAAGCGTGACTCATATGATAATCCAGTGGCGTAAACTGGAATTGAAGTATGTATAAATTGAGGGCAGCATATATTTTTAAACTTGTATTCATATTTTTTAAGTTTCAGTTAATCTTATCTTTTTCATTGATAAATAAAAATATTTCTTCAAAAAAATGTTATACATATTTTATCAATTTGTAATTGGTGTACAACATAATTTTATGGGAATCATGAAAAGCTTTTGGGCGTTGGTGATGTCTTAAGGTGCCCTGTGACAAACAGTTCCATTTTATTCATGAACGACATCGTGGCTGATTTGCATAGTTTATTATATTAGTTGATTTCCTTTTAATATACTAATTATCATTTCTGATATTCTTAATAAAATATTTTTTGATTTGCAGGTCTTGGGAAGCCTGTCTTGAGACTGTGACTTACAGAGCAGCTGAGATGTCCGCAAAATGGTGGTTCCAACTCTACCAGCTCATCCAATCATTCCTATCACCTAACCTGGATGACTTTTCACCTTCTGAAAAGGAAACGACAAAGCCTTCTGGGATACAAGAACTTGTAAAAGCCCTGCAGCAGTTCATGGAAGCAGCAACCATTGGGGACTTCGAATGTCGTCTGAGCATGGTGTTTGCATTTCACTGCCAGGTTGTACACCATTCATCATCTGACTATAGAGGTTTGTTGCTAAGTAAATCCAGATGCAATTTGATGATTAAATATATTAAATATATTATGATACTTTTACTATGTTTAAAGGGGAAAATCAATGATTTTTAGTTAGGGGGTGGGAAAGGGGTTCTACCAAAAATTTCAGATGTTTAGAATCAACACCACCATTGGAGTATGATCTCCTCATGACATGGGTGTTTTTGATAAAATAATGTTTTCAGAGGTCTTAAATAAAAGTTTAAATTTAGTCCAACTTATTTGGCTATTATTTCACAGTCATAAAAAAATACTAGTTGATAACATTTTAGGGTGTTTAGACCCCTGTAATCCGTCCTGGTTTATTACATTTTAGTAATTTATTGTTCTATTAATATTATATTTCAGTTGAAATTATGAATGTACTGTGGAATGTCTACAAGTTCTATCGGCAGTTCCTATTAGCTGTTCAAACTGAAGTCCAGAAGCAGAAGAAATCAATTGAAAAAGAACTGAAGGTAATGAAACATAAACTTCATTTGCTACTCAGTGTCCCAAATGATGATGCTATATTAACATAGTAAGCCTGAGTTTAGAGTGCCTGGAGAGAGGCACTCTCTGGGAGGGAGGGTGTTAGGAGAATCAACTTTAAGAGAAAGTGTGTTAAAGGAGTGCTCTGGGAGTACATGCTCTAAACTTTGCAATGTAGCTTGGTGTTGTAAAGTTGCTATTTTGGTATCTTGTTAGGACTTTGTGAAAATTGCAAAGTGGAACGACATCAACTTTTGGGCCATGAAGGAAGCTGTAGCAAAAACTCACAGGACACTACACAAATTCAGCAAGAAATTCCAGGTGAATTTATAAAACATATTTATGAATATGCAAATTAAAGCTTCACTATACATAAAAGATTGCTGTTGTAAACTTAACTTATCAGAGTAACATAGCTCATTTTGTTAAACACTTAGATAACTATTGCACGATTCCCAGGGGATTGAGATTCCTGTGTTACAAAGTCTATCCAGTTATTCTGTGTTTCAGTTAGAGTACTGAAATACAAGTAACTAAAATCTTTAAAGCGTCCATCTTTTGTGCTCTCTTATAAAATTCAGTCCCTTCATCCTCAGCAACGATCATCTTGTCGCTTTTCACTTTGATTTTGCTTTGTTAACTTTTGTATGTCTCAATTATCTTGAATCTTTGAAATGGTTTCATTATTCATTGTTTAAACCTAGCTAAATAATAATATTAATTTGTTCAGAATATGTATATGGCAGGTGAATCCCATTGGGAATAGGAATTAATTTTCCTTTATAACCTACCATCTCTATCTTGGAGTAAAGCGGGATAAATAAAATACATCAATTCCAGTAGAGAACTTTTGAATATATATGCATAGAAGCTCTTTTAACACTTATCATCAGAAAGAATGTACTATCATTATTTAAGTATTTGTTGTTCCCATAGTGGTTGTCTGGACTTCTCAAGTAGTAGAAATTTATATTTTGATCTTATTGGCTTGAATTCTTATTATTTATATAATGATTTTCATTTCAGCAAGCCTTAAATACTCCTGCTAGATCTGCATTTTCTGACGAAAGTATTCCAAAGGAAATGCCAGCAGTCGATGTTGAAAAATGTTCTATGACAAATCGCACGAATTACATCTCGCCTGAAAGTATGAAGGTAAGTCATTAAATTTTACTCTTAATCTAATTGGCTATTTTAGGGTTTAGTTCAGGGTTGGTCAATCCTTGATATTTGTATTTGTAATTAATGCAAATTTTCATATACTGTAAATGCTTCAATAAGCGCCGCTGCAGTTATAACATTTTTTTAGGCTTCAGTGAGGCGCTAATTCGAAAGCGGCGTTTATAACAAAATATTGGCGTGGCGCTTTTCATGCCCATTCCCATGTTACCTATTTCACATATTCCTGTAGTTCGGTAGGCCTACATCAATGTAAATAAACGTTTATAAAGAAATGCTTTTGTCTATTTATTCATTTTAACACTGAATACATTGTATTTAAAACCCTGTCTCTCAAAGTGTTTCATTACACACAGGGTAATATATACTTTTAACTAAGCGCTGCGGCGCTTTTTGGAGAGCGGCGCTTAACGTAAAAAAAAAAAAACCATGTTTGGTGCGGCACTTAATTCAAGCATTTAACGTAACTTACTTACTAGGTCGACCACAGCCGAGCATGGACCCTCCATTCAATATGGTTCCGCATACTCATTTGTATCTTCTAATCCAGAATTTTCATGTGATGTTTAACCACTGCAGTAACATCCTTTCAAACTTATTGCTTTAAAATTTCCACTCTATTACACATTTACAAACATAGGCAAAATTTCTATTACTTTCTACAGGTCTATTTTGATCATGTTTATGAAGATCAGACACAGGCAGATGGACAGCCAAGCCTGCAGAGCAGGCTGCCATCACTCTTTCTACGCATGACCAAGTTGTGCAGACGCATCTTCCATGAATCCCAATTCACGAGGTTGACAACATCACTGGATGGATTCATCGCAACTGTCGTTACCACTGTGCATGATCTCCAGGCATTGGATGTCACCAAGGTTTGTTCCAAATCTTGTCATTGGCCACTGAAAAAAACTTGTATTGCTGTACAATTATGTTCAATTAGCTTTGTGTGAAAATTAAGAAAATAATTTAGAGGATGTGTTTAATGGCAAATAAAATTATAATGATGGTGAAGATGGTTATAATATATGAATGAAAGGAACACACTAATGCAAAACAGAAAAATAGTAATACAAATGATTGGATTTTTGTTTATATTTTCCCTGTAGCATGAAGATAAAGAAAAACAGAAGTCAGAAGCTAAACACATTAACTTAAGAAAGAGGAAAGCTTTGGCTACACTTTTTAGGGAATTTACCAGAGCAGGTAAATAGATGGACATTATTACTTATTATACAAGTAAGCTGGTTGTCATTTGAACGAACAGGTTTTTTTCAAACATAAGCTATCGGCCATCATTTGTATTTTTTGCAGGACTATCATATCGTAAAGGCTTAGCCCTAACAGAGCAGGAGGGGGCAGATGCAGCAATGGAATTGTCTGCTGTTGACCTTGGTGTTGCCCTCAAAGATAAGAAGTAAGATGTTTATGTGATTTTGAAATTCTTGTATTTCATTCTTTAAATTATAAATCCAAAGTTTAATATATTGGAATTTCTCTTATGAGGACACACACTGCATTTAACAGAGATTTCAAGCAAAATCGAATAGTTTAGTTATGAATTATAGTCTGCAGCATTACTGTCCATGTACGGACAGTATTTGCCAACCACATGAGGGCAGCATTCTACAATATCTTGTTTTACTTGTATTATAGGGAATGTGAGGATACTGTAAGGCTCTGGCAAGGATGTGAATACTACTTCTACAGGTCTATTGCCAGGAAAGCTACATTTTTCAGTGCTATAGACACTCCATCAAAGGTAGGAACATGCTAAATAGTTTCAAATTTCAAGCAGATTTCCATGGTTACAAAAAACCTGAAAAATTACTTTTTTACAGGCCTGGTTAAGTCATAGCAATTACCATTTATGCTTTAATGCCATGTAAGTTTAGGGGAAGTTAGACAATATTTGCATATGTTTGCAAATTTTTATATAGAATATAGAATTTAAATTAACCAACGATTTTATATATATTTACAGGAGCTTGGTATTGGAAACATTGAACGCTGTCGTGGTTTCTCGGAACACATCTCCTCGCTTGTCGTTAAACAACGTCAAGAGATAGCTGAAGTTACTGAGGATTTTGATCACTTAAGGTATATAACTTTGGGAAGGGAACTGTATTAAATCATCAAGTAATACAACCATGAGGTGCCTTACAACAGCATAATAATAAAAATGTAAAAACAAATAAAGAGATAGTTTAAATGGTCTCACCCACTGATATCAAAGTAACATCTGTCTAAATGAGGCAGTTAATCCACAAAAGCAGTATGCTGAGGTCCGGCACTTTCCACCACATGATAAAGCTGTGACTCTACTAACATGCACTGCCGAGACAACGTTACCTTGAGTAAGGAAAAGGTGAGACCACACCTGAAATAGAAGTACAGGTACAACATAAGAGGATATATTAAATTAAATTAAATTAATAAAATTTGTCTAAAAATTCATTGCAAAATTTATTGAATTTGCAGGAATTTATTTGAACAGCTGCAAAGAATCAAATCTAAAGAAGGGACTAGTCCCATTCCGTGCCTGCCGAACCAGACAGCCATTTCAAGCCGTCTACTGTCCTTACAAAACCTGCTTTGCCAAGCTGGAGAAACTCTTCTTCAAACAATGATGTTGCTGGAGTGCTGCCCTCTCATGGCTGGGGATGAGGAGTCGACATTGATACCATTCCCTGTTGAGAAACTGTCAGCAATGAGTAGAGCCAAGAAAGGAGATTATACTTGGGCTAGAGTCATGACATCTTTAAAGGTAACGTACTGGGAAAAGACCCTACCCTGGAGTCGGATTGCTCGGTCGTTCCGTGTCGAATCAACGCAACTTTAAATTTTCACTTGTTTGCATGTTTACAACTTGGCAATAAAATATATATATAGACATTACAATTATATTTAAAAAATTTAATTACAACCATTGGTTTATTGCAAAGTAATTGACAATATTCACAGATTTTTTTACTCTCAGAAACATGTCAAGTGTGACATATTTTGGAATTTATTATGTCTGGGGCAAACATATACACTATATAGCTTGTGCATACATTGTTTATTGATATGAAAACACCATCAAACAGTTGATTTTGCTCTGCCAAACTCCATCAGCTCAAAACAATTTTTGTATACCATCCCAATGCAAAACAACGAATCTTCATCGTTGATACGTTGTTTTGCCTCATAATCTTGCAGTTACATTGTTTTACCAAGGAAAATCACTAGATGAAGATAAGTGAAATTTTCACAGTTAACTTAGGAGTGCTTAATTTACTCCAAATAATATTATCTTAAAATCGACAAAACTGTCAGTTATGTTGCAGTTACGTTGCTTTGTCTCGAGACGGCCGTGCTTGGCACCTCAAATAACCCTCTTATATAGAGCAATTTTCATCATTTATTTTTACTGTAAAAAATATTTTTTATTGCAGCAATGTCAGGAGAGAGTTGATTCAATGAAAGAAGTAATCAACCCAATTGCTATGAAGTTGCATTGGAGAGACAGGAAATATGTTTTAACATGGTGAGTATGGTTGTAGCTAACCAGCATAGCCGTAGTTAAATCAGACACTCACAACTGCATTCCATCACACTTCTTAATCCTAATATATGGCATGTTCATTTTGGAGAACAATATTTCCCTCTTCTCTTAGACTAACTTTGAATTTTTTTTTCTAGATTAGCACAGGCAATGACATATTCCATAAAGCTGCTTACTATTTGTGTATTGATTCCTTTTTTTTTGTTGTGAGTCTGTGATTCTTGTTTGTTCTCTACTACTGTTATTTTTTTAGACACTGCACCTTGAGCACCAATTTGGGGCTGATGTTTGCGCTTTATAAATCATTATTATTATTATGCCATGTATTATTTTATTATTTTTTATGTTCAGGAGTGATGTCCAGGTGTTCCAAAGTACGATATCTAACATCAAATCTCTAACTTTGGAGCTGTCCAATGTGGAAGATGCCTTCGCCACTCCCTACACCCAAGAAAAATCAGCCATGGTCTCATCCCTGTCTTGTCTTAGGAATGCCATTGACTGCTTTGAGGATGATTTACAACCAGTTACTAACACGGATTCCAGTATGTACCTATTAAATCAATATTTTTTTTTTGTTCGAAACTATTCATCAACTTAAACTGTTTTTAAGTACAGTATATGGATCAATTAGTAAGTATACTAATGTTCAGCAAATTTGTTGATTGTATTTAAAGGTCCTTTGGACAATGTTGGTACCAGAAGCTGTGCATTCCAGTGTTCAGTGGAAGCCCTTCTCAATCGTGTCCTGCTGACTGTACAAAACATACAAAAGATGGAAACATCGAAAACTGAAAGTATTGAACAGGACAACAAACACAATGACGAAAAGTCAGAAGAAGGTACAGTAATATTGTTAGTAGTCTTTCATAATTAAATGAATTTAATTTGATTGAAATTTAAAGAAACATTAATTAGTTTTTCATTTTTTTTCTGAGTTATTTAGCCTAAATTTAGGGTTAGGATATTTATTTAATTTTATGTTATTACTTAGTAATTTGATTTTTTTTTTCAGATGCTGATGATGAATATGCAAATGAGTTAATTGAGAGTCATATCAAATTATTAACCAGTGGTTTATCAGAAAGCAAGAAATGGATGGACAGTAAAAACATCAAAATGGCTTTGAAAACCATCATATCTGATTTGGTAGAAATGCATATGAACTGTCCAAGTGGAGAAACAAATACTGCGGTGAGAATTAATACTTGGTTAATAATTAATTAAATTATATTAATTAATTTCATGTGCCCCGAAATTTAAATTTCAAAAAATCTGTTGGGAGTGATACTTCAGACTACTTTCTTTATTCAATTTATTGCAACTCATCACAAAAAGAACATATCAAAAACATCAGACACAACAAAAATCAGATGCAAAAGGACAGGTTCCTCAGACATGAGGTTCAAACTAAGGGTAAAGGCCCTGGACAAAAAACATCAAATAACATAAAAAATACACATAAACTCTCATATATAAATACAAGAACATTTAAAAAAATGTTTGAATAAAACAAAAAAAAAACCTTTGGACAGAAAAAAAGTATATGTAAAAGCAGCATACCATACAGGGCACCGTCAATGGTTTTGCAGTGCACATCTTCCAGCAAACACCAGTATAATTTATTTGTTTGAAAAGTTTGTCATTTATTTATTTATTTATTTATTTATTTGTTATTATTGCTACTGCTACTATACTATATGTTATTATTATTGTTATTGTTACTATTATTGTTACTATTAATATTGTTGAATGATAATATCTAAGGTTTTTTTTTTGTTTTTTGTTTTTGCAGGAACTAAACAATAGTGTTGCAATTCTGCTGAGGATGGTACCAATACTGCATCAATATTTACAACTAGTCATGTTTCACCTTCACCAAATGGTGTCCGCACATCGTACTACCAGCAAACTGCTTTCCATATTGCTTGGTGTGTTTACAGAGTTGGCGACAAAGGTTCGTATTGTGGTCATAAGAACATATTTAATTTTATGTCATTTGAAATATTTAGGTGAATTTTTTTTAGGATGCTTCTACATTGTATTACAGAGAGTTTATCTTAGTTACATTTTTTTTTTCATTATTTTTTGCAGGGATTCTGTGTTCCACCGGAGTTCAGTGATGAAATAGGTGAGGGAGGGGCTACCGAATTTGAAGATATTGAAGGCGGTGGAATTGGAGCTGGTGAGGGAGCGAAGGATGTGAGTGATCAAATTGAAAACGAGGACCAAGTACAGGACACCAAGAAGCCAGGTGATAATGATGAGGAAAATGATGCCAACAACCAACCAGACCTGGAGGATGAGGAGCATGGTATTGAAATGTCTGAGGATTTTGAAGGGAAAATGCATGATGTTGAAAAACAAGGTAGGTAGTATTAGTGTAAAAGGAGTAGGATATGATGTATAACAAATTGCTTTTGGGATGCGATTTCAATATGTTTATCACCGTCTTATTTTTCTTGACAGCTTTTGACGAATCTGGTAACGAAAGCGAGGGCGACGATGAGAACCAGCTAGATAAACAAATGGGTGATCTTGGTAATGAAGAAACTGACAAGTTGGATGAGCGCATGTGGGGTGATGACGATGATGAAGAAGATGAAGAGGAGAAGGACAAGGAAAAGAAGGATGAATATGGTGATGGGGCAGGGGAGGAGCAACAATCACAGTTAGTAGCTAAAGATGATAATCAAGGTATTCTGTTTGTTTTTAATATGATTTATATAGTGCACATATCCATTTGCTTTCCTCTTCATTGGATACAGGATCTATCATAAATGATGTGCAACCGACTTCCTGGGAGTATTACTAATCATGCATATAAGTCAACACCTCCAATTTCCTTCAAAAGCATTTACAATTTTTGGTGAAGCGAGGAAAACAGATAAAGTGTCTGGTCCAAGGAAACTTCCAATGTGACCACCATTCGTCTTTTTTGGTTAAATTGTGTCACTCTTCTAGATCATAATGTAAAATATTGCTTGATGTGAAATGTTTTGTAATAACTGTTTTGTATTGGTTCTGAAGGTGATGAATCTGGTGATAAAGAACAAGACAAGGGAGCAAACGAAGAAAATAAGGAAGAGGAAAATGAAAAAGAAACTACAAAGCCAAACAACCTTGAACCAATGGATGAGGTAAGAGAATAATTTACTTTAAAAATTATATATTTCTTATGGAGAAAAATCCTAATTAGGGTATAATTATATATGATATAAATACACTTCTTTTATTATATCAATAAAATTCTTTAATTGCAGGGATTAAGATATTTATATAGGATAGAATATAGTTTCTTTTCTTTTATGTTCATTCATATGTGTTTATCCTGTCATCTCTACTTGTTTGCTTGCACTAGAAAACTTGCTAGCAACTTCAAACATGTTTTGATTTATTTTTTAAAAATATTTTTTCATCTTAAAGGAAGAATATGATGATAATGTTGATCCAAGGCAGGCCAACAATCCTCCACCAGAAGTTGTACCAGAAGAACTTGACCTTCCAGATGATCTGGATCTAGACCAGATGAAGGATGGAGATGATGAAGATGAGGAGAAAGAGGAAGGGGCTGGTAAGAACAAGGAGGGAATAGATTTTATCAACCTTTTTCACACTAGTTTCTACATCTAAGAGTCTTTATATGTTACTGCTCTGAGTGTAGCAAGAATGCTGACATTAAGTAGCCCTCCATAGTTAGCCTGTGGTCAAAGCATTTGAAATGAACTGCATCGAATTGGTGCTTGACTAATATTAATATAATAATTTTTTTTATTTACATTTTAAAAAATACATTTTTTCTTTTAGGGGAGAACCCACTTGATATTGAACCAGAAATTCCTGATAATAAAAACCTTGATAAAATGGATGATGTAGAAGAACAGAAAATGGAACAGGAAGGAGAAGACGATAATGACAACACAGATGAACAAGAAGATGAGAAGATGAATGAGCAGGAGGGACCAGATGATGCTGAAAGAAGTGCTGAGCCTCAGGTATGGATTTGTTACTCAGAATCGAGCACTTTGTATTTTTAATGCCAAGGTGATATAATATTGTCATCTAACTTACATATTCTTAAATGAAATTGTCTCTAAATGCAGTAATTTGTTTGGACCAGCAGGAAAATGATGATGAGGAATTGGTTGAAAATGATCCCACATCTGAATCTTTACCGGATCAATCCCACAACTCGGAACAAATGCCGGAAGCAGCTGAACAATTTGGAAAATCTCACGAGGAAACTGATCAAGTGAATAAAGATGAGGGCGGGAATGATGAAACTGGAAAATCTGAAGAAAAAGAGAAAGAAGAGGTAAGCCTTTTTAAATTATTATTGTTCTTTTAAATGTTTTTGACAAAAGTGGCAGGTATCTGTTTTAATATTAATTAGGCTACAAGCGAATCAAAGCATAGGGAGCCAGTATGTATACATTTTTAATGACTGATAGTTATGGAATTAATTTAAACAAAAAAAAAACTTGAGTATTTCATGCTTTTCTGTGTAGTTGAACATATAAAATATATCAGTTTTAATGTTTGACAAAAATAGGAGCATGGAACGGGGTCGTCTCAGGCCGAAAGATCTGAAGGACATGATGGAGACAAACTTTCAGAGGTTACAATGCAGAATAGCCAAGATAAAAAAGATAGACATCGGAAGCGACCAAGCCAATCAGATTCGGACCGTACACTTGGTGCAGAGAAAACACACAAACGCTTGAAAACAATCGATGAAACCAAAGATGAGAGGCAGACTAATAATGATGAGAAGGTATTTTAAACCACCAAATGTTTGTTGTTGTTCAAAACATTGTGATGTTTGGGTACTTGATATGTATGTTAAAATTGGGAAGACACTTAATAATTTAAACTTTACCAAATTTCAATGAGTCCCATATTGATCTATAGCCAATTAAAGCCCTATGCAAAGATTTTAAGAATTATTTATGAATATTTTTATTGGTTGAGAAGTATTCTATCATTTAAAGATGAAAGCTAAAATGACAGCAATAATGATAAAAGGAATAATATTAGGGGTCCCACAATTTGCAAGATTTTCCAGAAATCTGGACAGCCCGCACCCCTGCATGCAAGTAAGAATGTCCCAGAAAATAACCCATCTCCTGTAAATTCATAATATTGGCGTGTTTTTACTACTTTAGCACCAATTGTCTCAGAGAAGTCAGTGCCCTTGGTGTCGCCATGCGCAGCAGAATAAAATTAAATGTGTTAAGAAAGCTTGTTTTTACTAGATTTCCTTGAAGGGACTTCTTCCTACTTGGGACCCCTGTAATATTAATTTGTTGTTATTTGATAAGAAAGTATAACATAGAAATTTATGAATTCATAATTGAAAGTTTTTGCATTCTCCGCAGCAATCTGATAAAGCAGAGCTTTATGAGCATGTGCATGAGACGAGCAGCCATGATGTCGAAACTCTGGATACTGCGACAAATGAACAACAAGCCGAACAGCCTGCCCTCAATGCTGGCAGTGATGATAGTGATGTTGGTGACATGGAAACTGATGATAATCTACTACCTCATGATGATGAAGAAGTAAGACCTTTTTAGTGTTAGTCAGAATATTGACCAAAAATGCTGTAAACAAAATTATTTCTGTAAATATAAAGTCTGAGTATATTTTTTGGAATTGAATTTATTGATCAGCAAATCCGAAATATAATTTTTAGTGTAATATTTAAAATTGAAATGTTTTTTTTTATTTTAGATTTACTGTATGCTTAGACACTTTATAAATACAGATTGAGCTGGTAATTAATCATAATATGTATTATAAGTCAATCCCCCACAGTACAATAATTTTTCACATAGTGTACGCTTGGCTTGATCTGTTTTTTTTACGTTTGTGTGCAAAAGGTGAAAACAACTTTTACAGTATGTATTGTGTACCACGATGAAAATTGAATTGTAGGCCTAAATGAAAATTACTTTCGTAAAACAAGGTTGATTAGAACCTGAAGAAAGTTACTTTAAATTCAATATGAAATATGAATAATTAAGAAATTTTTAGAATCAATGGACCCTAATAAACTAAACAAACTGAACATTTAATAGGAATATTCTAGACCTATTTTAAAAATTCAAGAAACAAAATTAGATGTGTCCCTACAGCCAAGGCCCAGAGGCTGTAGCGTAGCCTAGTTATGCAATTATCGAACGGTTTTACCTTTCTACACCGACCAAAAAATGATTACTGTATTCTGTCAAATGCTTTAAGAAATGTTTATTTCTTTGACGAATGTCTATCAAAATGGCATTACAAACACAATAGTTAATCATTGTATCCATATTGTACTGCTGATGTGTGACGTCTCTAGCTCTGTGAGTTAACGTGTACTGCAGGAGCACAAATCAGCGTACACGCAGCTAAATGTGAATATGCACACAGTATGCACATCATATTACTATAGCAACTGATGACTGCTACCACAGTTGATTGACAAAACTAACATTAAAAGACGGCGATTGACTTGAATTAGTAGAGCTGCATGTATCGTACACTAGCGGAAAATTATTATACTTGGTTAGATTTAATGCATTCAAAAATTTCCTTCGGGCTTTATATTATTGTACTATGCGCAGCTCTACTAATTGATTAATTATGTTGTATAATACTGTAAAATGGCTTAAGTTTAAAGAGTGAATTTTAACTAAATTGCCAGTTAGCTGTAAACATCAATTATGTTTGTCATTTTAGGAGGCGGAGGACACCGAAAAGATGGATACACTTCCATCATCCAAGTTGAAAATGAGCAAGCAAGATGGAATTGATAGAGAGAAAAATGAAGAGCAGCCATCATTTGATGAAGATGAAGAAATGAATGAAAAATTGAAAGAAGGTAAGAAAAGAAAGCTTTCTATACATGTTTCTGTTCCAGCATCAATTCTTTCTATTTTTGTATTATTTATCTAGTTTTGGTGTAGTATTATATATGATTTTAAATTTAATCTTCCAACAGAAAGCAATTTGCCATTTTACATAATTATCTTGAATATATTTGTTATGAAACAGTCCAAACATATTAGGTTTTTTATGTCAGACTCTGACAGTGTTTAATCGGACTTTGATAATATATTTCATATCAATAGCAGAACTCAGTTAAAACCACCTGAGCACTTTCATAATGGCATGCACATTGCTGAAGATTCTATAGAAAGTATCTGTGATTAGACTGACCATGCATGTTAGTTGGTGTACAATTCATCTTGGTCAAGGTTAGTTCAATGTGAACACAGCTTTAGTCACTAATACATGCAATATTGCATGTATTAGTCACTAAAACATGCAATATTGTGCATATTGGAGGAAAATTGTTTCATCCTTTTCATACAACTATTTTATCAACCCAGATTCAAGTGAAAATGTGGCATCTGCTCTATCAATGTATCATACATCCTTTGACCACCTTGAAACCACCAACAAGCAACCTTTAAATCCAGAAGAGATTGAGGGTCTGAGAAAAGAGTTGGAGGAACAGCTTCTGGTTGTGATGCAGAACAAGGGAACTATAGAACAGGTTGGTAGCGCTCATCATCATTTTTGTCTTAAGCCGGGCACTAAATGTGTTGTACGATCGTCGGCCTACAAACACAAGCCTGTTAATTTAGAGCGCTGGATCACTGAACAGTTCAAACAGATTGTCATTAAAAAATATCTCCATAAAATAAAAATAAAAAGTTGGAGGATTGTTTTTCCACATTTTTGATTAAGTAGGCACAGTTAAGATGTTACAAATTTAGTACATTTTTATGCTAAATAGATGCATTTGTCATTATTGTCAACATCTGTGATGAATTATCTCGCATTATTTTTTACACTGGTGGTCATATTGCAGGAAAGGCAGGCTCAAGAAGCTTGGCACAAGTATGGTTCTCTGACATCCAGCCTCGCCAGGGACTTGTGTGAACAGCTGAGACTTGTCCTGGAACCTACCCAGGCATCAAAACTTAGAGGAGACTTCCGAAGTGGCAAACGTTTGAACATGCGTAAAGTAATTCCGTATATTGCCAGTCATTTTCGTAAGGATAAGATCTGGTTGCGACGTAGTAAACCAAGTAAACGTCAATATCAGATCATGTTAGCTGTAGATGATTCTTCAAGCATGGACGATAATCACTCCAAACAGGTATGATGTAAATAGAATTGTGTGTATGATAATTGTGTTATGGCAAAGTACGCTGTCTATCTGTGGATTTGATATCTCAGAACATCCCAACAATAAGCCAATTCATAGTTTGAACTGCACATGCCTGTATCAAGGTCGATCGACATAAACAGACACACAACATAGGTTTATTTTGATACACAACATAGGTTTATTTTGATTGACCTTGGATATGGGCATGTGCATTTACGAATTGGCTTATCTTGTGAATTATTGTACAAATACTATTACATTCAAAGTTATGCCACAAAATCAAAGTGCAGCAGATCAATTTAGGTCAGTCACCTCAAATCAAATTAACAGATATAGTAAAATAAACATAATTCAAGCTGAAAAGAAAGGATGAATGGAGAAGCCCAATTGATGCAGTGGCATGTCTAGAAGTTTTGAAATGGGGGTACTAATAGGGGTGCGAAGGTGAAGTTGGGTGCCTCAATGATCAGTTCAGAGGTGCTAATTCGCAAAATAAGGTGATTTTAGGTGATTTTTAACTACTTGACCATAACTTTTCTGGGGGCGTGTGCACACCCCTAGATACTCTGCTTAATTGATGTGTTTGAACTTGCTTTATTTAACTGAAATCAACGTAGGTCTAATATTAATTGTGTTTACAACTATCTTGCCTTTTATTCATATTAAACCATTCTCTCTTTATAGCTTGCTTTTGAATCATTGTCCGTTATCAGTAATGCTCTCCGTTGGTTGGAGGTCGGAGAATTTTCTGTTTGCAGGTAAGTGAAGAAAGAAATAGCTTCAATAAAGTTTAATGGTTTTTAATTATATTTTGTTATTTTTCTTCATGTTCATCGTTATTATTGTTGTATAGTGTTATTGTGATATAATATTTTTTATATTATTTTATTATACTTATATTTAGAGACTATTTTTATTGTGCTTTGCATGTTATTAAATATTAATGCAATATATTATTACTCTTAAGGGCATCCTCTATAAATAAGGCTGAATACATATTATTTTATTTATTTTTTATTATTTTATTATTTTTTTTTTATTATATTAATCTAATCAGAATTGTCCATAACACAATAGTACTAAATACACCAATTTGATGTCTCGATCTTCACTTTATTTTTTAGTTTTGGTGAGAGTGTTCAATTGCTGCATCCATTTCATGAACAATTCACTGACCAATCAGGTGGCAGAATTCTTCAACAGTTTACATTTTCTCAAAAGAAGACCAAGATTGGCCAGGTAGGTGTCATGAGTTATTCATTTTTTTTTTTTTTAAATTTATGATTGTCCTTTGCTTTCTCACTCTATTCGATACGTTGTCTGATATAAATAAGCTTTGCCCAATGAATTAAAAAAACCAAAAAAAAACAACAAAAAAAACCAAAAAAACAGCTTGTTTCAATATAGTTTTTCTGTCCTTGAATCTTAAATGTTTAATAATAGTTATAGGTTTTTTGTTTCATTTTAGCCTTTCAATTTCAACTTTGCATCCGATTCCTTTGTGAACAAAATCCTCCATAAAGCCTTTAGAATTCTTTCCTCCTAATTCTTCTGGTTCAATATATATAAAATAAATTCTGTTTCTTTATTGGCAGTTACTAAAATACATATCATCGTTGATGACCTCGGCACAGTACAGATTGCGGGGCACAGCCTCGAGTACATCACAGCTCCTATTGGTCATCAGCGACGGACGAGGACTGTTTTTGGAAGGGATGGAAACTGTAAGATCTGCAGTCCGTCAAGCAAGAGATGCTAACATCTTCCTCGTCTTTGTAATCTTGGACAATCCAAATAATAAAGTAGGTTTAATACATTTGATATTTATAAATTCCATGCAGTCTATTCTACATCATTTGTGGCTTGATTCAAAGAATGGGTGTGTACATTTTAAGGAAATTAGAAGCCTGCATATAAGGATGTGAGGCGTTTTATACAAGATTTTATTAGTAGTGCACAATTAATTTTACAGTTTGCCCTCCAACCTCCAATTTGAGACGACTTTGGGACCTGATGGTGCACTGTATTTTATTTTCTCATAAAATAGCTGTTGTTTTGCCAATCTAAAACAAATTAGTCAAATCAAGATCAAGAAATATGCTTCATAAATCATTTTAATAAGGCAATTCTGAAAGGTAAATGCAGCTGGTGCAGTTCTGAAAACATAATTTTCATCAACTTCAGTTATGTACTGCAGACTGCATTCAACTTCAAATCGACAGATCAAAACAATTAGTTTTTGCCAATTTACTAAAAACTTTACTATATATATTTCATTTATTCATTCTTACACTAATCATAGAATTTTTCATTTTTCTTCCTTGTAGGATTCAATCCTTGATATACGCGTTCCCGTATTCAAGGGGCCTGGAGAAATGCCGGAGATTCGTTCATACATGGAGCACTTTCCATTTCCGTTCTATATCGTTCTACGTAACATCAGTGCGCTACCTGAGACACTAAGTGACGCACTTCGGCAATGGTTTGAGCTGGTTACTGCTGGAGAATGATGCGATTGCAGGTTGATAATGCAGCGTAAATATTTATTCTATGAGGAACGTGACGGTGATGTAACCCAGGCTTGGAAGATAAACTCCAAGATAAGAGTGTAATATGCAATTAATCATATACATTCACACTTAAGTTTGTGCCATGAAATTTTAAAGGATAATGTAATTAGGCCTACTCAGTAATTCCTCAAGGATATGAAAGAACTTGTCATTAAGGCTAATAATATAGTTTGAATGGTTAAAATATATTTGAAAATATTTGTATATATTTAAGTTTCAAACAAATATAAATAATTATATAGATGAAAATACACAAGATTGAAATGAATGTAAAACTACACCGATACACTTATAAGACCCCCAATGCTGGAGACCTTACTTGTGTCATTTGAAAAGTTCATAGATCAGTGGAGTACAAATGAATTGCACGTGGTGTATGAATGTAATAGCCGATGTTACTGCGGTCTTGCTTTGGGTGTCTAATAAACATCTTAGTTACAGTGGCGGATTCAAAGGGACCTAGCCCGCCCAAGCCGCACCCCCATCCCCCAATTGTTTTTCAAAAGAACGAAGAAAAAAAGAGAAAATATTTATTTAATTTTAAGTCTGAGAATGATCCGCCTCTGCGTTAAGAACTATTGAACCCTACACTGACCATTTGCTTTTTTTTTAAAAGTCAATATTGATTGTGTATAATCATATGAGCCATCAGAGCCATCTGAGAATAAATTTCATTTGAAATTAATAGATTGATTAATGTTTTATTTTAGATAAAAACTACAACTTCAAGTGAAAAATAGCAGCAAATTTTAGTTATAAGTGGTATGTTATGGTTAATCATTTTTTTTCACTTTTATTGACCGCTTTTAACATCACAACAAAACAAGGCAAAGCGCAACAATAACGGACATAGTGAACTGTTTTAAACCAGAAAAGAACCGGTTTTGTTTGCGGGCTGTTCAAATGTCATCCATCGATGTTACATTGCAGTTGAATTTTCAGTGTTGGGGTGGGGGGAGGTGGTAATCTAACATTTCTGGATAATCTCAGACCTACCAGGCTAAACATTTTAAGATAGAAAACTCCACTATTGCTAAAAAAATACAGGTAGACAAATACCATAGCCCTAAAAACAATATGCTTAAAGCCATTTTAATTTTCAGAAGAGGAGGTGTATAATTCATAATTATATGGAACACAAATAAGAGACATATAGGTAACAAAGGGAACTGGTCCCTGTACAAATTACCTTTCAGAATAACATACAAATTCAATAATTAAATTCACAAAATCAGTATACTTACGGTAATACAGTAATTACCTACAATAAAAATTAATAAAAGAAGAAAATAAATATATAACTACGTAAAAAAGTAAAGTAAATAAATAAGCAAGACAGGAATAAGTAAAGAGATGGAAGTGGATTAACGCAGGTGATCGAGGGCAGTTTTAAAAGAAGAGACGGAAGAGGATAAACGTGTAGCAGTTGGAAGTCTGTTCCAGATGATTGGAATATGATGAAAGAGTGAATAGTAGAGTGCATTGCGTCGAGCAGGGGATGGTGAAGTGTGGGATGAGGCAGGTCGACGTGTATTGAAATATACACTTAGTTACCAACCTGAGAGATTTGAAATGCGTGAGATGCGTGAGTGACTATACCAGTTGGCTGGGGGGGGGGTTCCAAGCGGCAGGGGAACCAACATCCCCTTCCCACCGCTCCGATGATTTGAGAATTTTTAAGCTGTTTTAAAACGATTTCACGGAGTGTTTGTTGATAATACAGGTACATAAGCCAAAATATTATTATTAAAGCCAATTTGAGTTTTAATGTAGGTTTAATTTGAGCACCCGAACTATGTAGACCTACACAAACATTACATTACTGATCAATGTTTAGTAACTTGTTAGTGAAATAAGTAGGGCCTTCAAGGAAATACTGTACTCTCATGAGTTACTGCATCACCGTTTTTATAGTTTTAATACAACCAATTTCTTCCAATTTTAAATACATTTTCCCCTGAATTTGTGATAAATCGTTATCACGCATAGACTTGCGTTAAATGCGTGACAAATTTAGGATCACGCATGTGTTTCTGCAAAATGCGTGTTTCATCCAGAATCACTTTGAAACGCGGGACCGTCCCGCACGATGCGAGACGGTTGGTATCTATGTATACATAAGTGAATCAATATTAATAATACCATTAATAATTTTGTATAGAAAATAAGGCATGATCATGGGCTCAATGCTTGTGACATTGGCCTTTTCCAAGACACTAGTGTTAGTCTGTTTGTCCTGCCCCTTGATTTCGAGTACGCCGCAGACAACGGCGTATAATGTATTTAGTTGTTGGTGATCAAGCCTATCTGTATATTCAATATAGTTAGGGCTGTTGAGATATCTAGCAGAGTTCAGGAAAAATGAGTAAAGTGCCTCTGGATTGATTCAATTTAGGAAACGTTAGTGTAGATGCCAGACTACCGGGGAGTATTCGAGTATTGGACGTACGAGTGAGTTAAATAAAACTAAAGAAAGCAGGTGGCGATTGCATCGACGTTTTATAAAGTAAAGAGTTGGGGATGCTTTTGAGGTAATATTTTGAATATGATTATGCCATTTCAGATTGGAAAAGTGTTTTCATTTAAGGGCCACAATGGCCGCCTTTATGCAGAACTATCCATTGTTGACAACAGAAAATTAACACTGTATTAATAGTAGCAGTGCTCGTATAGGAAATATGATGTATAATCGTATCAAGCATAGCTCTTCAACGAAAATTTCTTTTTCAGTTGTATTATTTAAATTTTTCTAATTGTTGTACTAATGTATCTTTTAAAATGTTTTGTTTATGATAACTGTTTCTTAGAATTTTTTTAAAAGTTTCGACCGTTTTTATATTTCATTGGACGCACTGTGCGTTAGAATGGGACTACAGTATTAAGTAGTCACCCAACAGTGGCCAGCTGATATGAGTGACAAACGAACAGAGAATATAGAAATTGATTTAAACTCAATTTATTGTAATAATAAATGTAATGTAAAAATAGAAGAGAACGAACCCTTTGGTTAATCAAAAATATACGACGAGAATCAAGATATTAGGCACATTATATAAAAGCAAATTTCGCCGCTAAATGACGACGGTAAGAAATCAAAATATAAACTTAACGGTTTCAGATAAGGAAAGTAATATTGTGCGATAAATAATAGTTATTTTAAGAAATAATTAGTTTCTAAGTGAATCATAATAATGCGTTTGGTTTCTAAATATAGAATATCATAGGCTATATAGGCCTAATATTTAAAGTTTTCTCGGTTTAGCGTACCGTCACGATGTCTTCCACGAGTTTAGCCGATGGAGCTATTAGCTGCTACAAGAGGATTGGTATATTGGCGCATAATACAGTCTCTGTGTGCTATGCAGTGGTGGCGCCAGTGGAGGTACAGGGGAAATCCTCTCTCCCCGTCGGACAGGCCTGGACCCCCTGTTGTCCGACATTTGCCTATCCAAATAGCGTTATTTTGTTTAGCGATCCCTATTTTTCATTCTGGGACCTGGACCGAGGTTCTAGTCGGGACCTGTTGAAACCCCCCCCCCCCCCGTCGGATATTTCGGACACCCTGTCGGCACATTTCTGAGTACTGAATATAAATTTCTAGAATGAGTGACAAACGAACAACACAGAAATAACGTTCGTGATAGCACAAAAATTAGTTTATACTAATTGCAATGTTTAATAATAAATGCAATGTAATAATTTTTTTTTCTGTAATAAAGATTAAACCATTATTCTATAACATTAAAGTAAATAATTTCAGAGGCGGTGTTTCAAAAAAAAAAGCCAAAAAAAAAATCCTTCA